CTGATATGTTACAGAATCACATCATCCCTAGTGTGGCTAATAAGCACCTATTCGAAGGTATGACTTTTACGCAGGATGGTGCTCCACTCCATATTGCTACATGTGTGAAAGATCTCTTACATCATTTCGTGAGGATCATGTGGTGAGCCACCCCTTCCAATATGCTTGGCCTCTCGGTTCCCAGATCTCAATCCATGTGACTATTGGTTGTGGGGTTACCTGAAATCGGAAGTCTACCGTGATCATCCAACCTCATTAGAGATGCTAAAAGACAACATGCAACAGTAATTTCTCACCACACCTACAGCTATGCTGTACAGTACTTTTCACAACATTGTCCCTCAACTACAGATATTGTTGATAAATGAATGGCTGACATGCTGAACATTTGTTTATATAGAACATAGCCCTTGCTAAAAATCAGTTGTTATGCTAATTACTGCTTTTGTTACCATATAAAGTGCCATCTGTTGGCCATTTTAAGCACTTTTTTTGCTTTCAATAAAACTTTGTGACATTTCAAACATGTGTCAGGTTTTTACCATTTAACCTACATTATTCAATTAATTATTGAATTTTCAAATGTTAACGGACTTTTGATTCACCCTGTATATGAAGCAGGTAGAGGGCTCTTACAAACTTGAAACCAGATGGATTCTATTATACATATATATACACATACAGACATAAAGAAAGAAATTTAGAACGACTTTGTCACAAAGCCCAAAATTATGAAATTCAAATAAATAAATTAAAAAAAAATCTATAAATTAAATTAGAATTCTATTTATAGAATTTTTTAAATTTATTTACTCGAATTTCATTTTTTAGTCTTTGTGAAAAGTTGCTTCTAAATTCCTTTATGTATGTACTGATCAATTTTCTGCGGCATAATGCACAAAACTTCTAGAAATAGTTATGTATTTTTATTTATAACTTTTTTTTTGTTTATGTAATATATATATCCATCTTCTTTTAAATTTAAGCATATAAATGTTCTTCTTTTAAATTTAAGCATATAAATGTAGTTCAGCAGGACTTTCAAGAGCTCCCTGAACCTTCGGGCCCCTATGTAATGGAATTCCTTGCATACTCTTATTTATGCTACTGTATGCAATAACTGATAGTGACTGGACACTGTATCTTGCCTGTTGGCAGAAACTTCAAATTATACCTCTGTAGTATGGCACCAAGTTGCATTGTCAGATAAATGTTGTTTTCTAATGTGCTAGGCTGATGTAAGGATAAAATGTAGTATGTACAATAATACAGACCATGTTCCTATTCCATTAACTTGATTTTCTTCAAAGCATTAATGGTTCCTAAATGGTGCGGATAGCATTCTAATTATCTAAAAAGGTCCTTAAAATTACTTGTGTGCAAAAAACCCATGGTAAATGATCACTTAAATTCTTTGATGTATGGCCCACTAGTGTCCAGTTAGATAATCCTCACAGATGTGTTAGTTGCAATGCCATTTCAGCAGCTTTCTCTTTGTTTAACATGAATACGAACCAGTTTGCCTTAGAATGGACTCAATGCAGGCATTCTTATTATTAAGCAAAAAGCCTTCATATACTTTGCCTTAAACCAAGGATTCCCAAACTTTTTAGCCTATGAGCCATATTTTTTTTTCTTTTTTTTTTTTCCATGAAGCATTGAGGGCTAAGACATAGTTAGTTCATGATACTATGATGATGTAATTATGATGAACAGTATATGCATTTTAAAGAAGGCAGCGAGATTTTTGCTACTAGATCTATACTGCTATGATAAAACAGAGATTTGCTTTTCCGACTTTCATGCAGTTGCATCTAACATAAATTTCTTAAAACTGCTTAAAAATTTGCTGAAATATTCTTGTCCCAGAATATTAGATTTCTTCCATTTGCAATGTAACTTTGCTTTTAAATAGGATTAATTCCCCATTGTAACAATTTATCAGAACATTTTGCTTACGTTTCGATTAGGTGCAAATTTTCGCTAATAGGTATTTCATCTTTTGATTATGTTTATGTGGGGGTGGGGGATCTTCAAATCAAAATAAATAACAACATTCCTTAAAGAAAACTTAACGTTTAAACAAAATCACTGATGAAAATTTCTAGGACCAAACCTAGAATACTACTATGAAAGTAGGTAAAGATAACACACAAAGTTTTCATTCTTATAAAAAGTATAATGACATATTTTTAACAGAGTATTATGGTATTTTATTCATTACAAATTTAGAAACAATTGTATAATGTTTATAATATGCTTTATACAGAATGTGCATGACAGGCAATGTATTTACAGATTGATTATCATATAAAATACATTACCTGACACTGAAAATGCAACACCAAGAAGGAGTGGCCAGAAAGTGATGAAACTCGGCAAACATAGAGGCAGCAAGAGATCTTTATTTCAAAATGATATGCACAATACAGAGTGAAAACAGCATCCATTCAATAGGTTGTAGGACCATTTGGATGGCGATACACAAAGCAACACATCTAGGTACAGAGTCAATGAGACTACGAATGATGTCCAGAGGAATGGCTCTCCATTCCCTGTCAACCATTTGGCACAGTTCATCTTCTGAACACGGCAATGGCTGGGTCTGCAAATGGCATCCAATCACATTCAAAATGTGTTCGACTGGTGAAAGCTCAGGAGAGAATGGTGACCAGAAAAGCATCTGAGCACCTTCCAGAGCACGTTGGTTGACGGAAACAGCACATGGTAAGTTGTTATCTTGCTGATAAAGGGGCACTGGGCACTCCTGAAGGTAGGGGACTGTTACCGGCTACAGCACATTATTCACATATCATCAGGCCGTCATAGTACCCTGAATATGAACTAGAGGTGACCTAAAATCATATGCATTTGCATCCAAACCATGATTCCATGATCTCGGGCAGTAGGGCATTCTGTATTTGCTTCTGGAGAGGACCTGTCTCCATATCGATGCCACACTCATATGAGATGACCGTCATTGGAAAAACGGAAGCATGACTCATCTGAGAACATGACCCTGTGTTTTCTATCATCCACATCGCTTGAGCCCACCACTATTGCTGACGTTGGCATCTATGATCTGGGGTCAATGGCAGTCTTCTTAACAAACGCCACAAGTGCAGGCCACCAATCGATGGCAAATAGTTCTGGTTGATATCGGAACATCCAGGGTGTCTTCAACGTGCTGCAGAATGAAGGTAGAAGTGGTTTGCAGCTGCAGGTGCCACACCACTTGTCGGGGATGCATCGATTCACACATGCTGACGTCACTCTGGCTGCCACTTGAACTTCTCACATTTCCTTGTTTCAATAATGATCGCCACATTTCCTTGTTTTATCCATTATCGCCACAGCCAGTGCACTGTGACATGCCCAAGTGTGTATCAGCTCAGATTTGCCGTATGGAGCAACTTGACCTTCTTAATCTGATAATATGCCCCTTGTAGAATCGTCTGTCTAATGGAACTGCCTCCGTTTACAACGGCCTGGCATTCTCCGCAATTACACACATTCTCTGAGACAAGAACAAATTTTCCATGATGATTTCCCTATTAGAAACAATGGTACGAAAGAACATTCAGCAGGTTTCTTCCCTTACATGTTTTTTAACATATGCCGGGAAGCTGCAGATTTCACATCATTTGCATAACTCAGTGATGTTCATCTACCCTGAAATTTTCATAATTTTTGGACCACTCCTTTTTGGTGCTGCATTTTCAATGTTGGGTAGTGTAGCTAATGTGTAAGTCACATTTTTAATTTTTAATTTTATGTAATTACTTTAAAAACCTTGGGAGGGTTGAACTGAAGTTCTTTCTCGTGGGCCAATCTGCCCTGCAGGCCATAGTTTCTTGACTTATTATCATGACTAAATAGCGATTTGATTCTGCGGCATTGAGTGCTTCCGGCTATTAGGCTTGTCTCACCAGTTTCTTATAGACCAGAGTCTTTCTGAGCATTACCTTATCCTATGAGCCATTAGGCTAATCTAACTACATTTAATTTTAGTTCAACATTATTTCTTAATTTTAAGCAAGAAACGGTGGCTTGCACAAACCCAAACTGAGTCATTGTTACTTCTTTATATTCAAATAAAAGGGCTATTTACACACTTCTTCTGACCTTGTCGGTCTACAATTTAAGACAAGAGGATTATTATAGTCTTTCTAAAGCTCCTAAGTATATGCTACCCAAGAAAGTGAGGCTCTATAGCCTTAAATAATTAACCTAACCTACCCTTTTACAGTTTTAGCAGATCCTGATGAATATACATATTTCAGCAGGAATATTCATCACCAAAATAGATCATCTCTTGGCAATGGCTCGAAAAACAATAACCATATATTTTACATGATCTGGTCCTCCAAAGCTTCCAGATTCAAAACATATTTATTTTCACCTGAGCTCGCTCATCAAATAAAACATCAGGTTCACTGATTTCTGGACCATCAGCCAAGTTGAAATATGGACAATAAATGACACAAGTTTCTATTTAAACTATTTGTTATAAAGTATTCTTAACTACAATATATAAATGGCTATGTTACATACATTGTAAATGAACTTTTACAAAGGTATTATTAAATTTTGTTAATATTCTAAAACAAGACTATATAGAATGTTTCAAAATGAATACTCTTTTAGCAATCTGAAACTAAGGTACATAAAAATGAAAGGCTTCTCATTTAACAACTCACCCATTTGCAGTCTTTATATACAATACATGTAATAAGATACAATATAAATATATATAATATATACATATATTTTTATATACAATATAAATATATGTAATTATATGTAATAATGCTTTATAAGATGTTAAACTTTATAAATTATGCGTTTCTTTACAAGAAAACTGTACAAATGCCAAAAAAGGCAAAGCTTTTTTAAGTGAAAGGGAAAGAAATGCCTCTGCTTTTCCATATTTTAAAAAAAGGAAAAAAAAAAAAAAAAACACTTTCTTCATTTGCAAGGTAAATTGTGTTCTTAAAATGCAAATAACACACTTACAAGATGTTCAGTTGCATCTGTCTACGCAGCAATGCATTCTTTTCATTCACAAGAGCAAACCACTTTTTCATCAGTTTGTCTTCCAAAACATCACTGTTCTCTACACACATTAAAAAGTAGAATACAGCATTTAGTTTCAGATTTATACACCTCTTTTGACAAAAAAAGAGGTTAATTCAGAACAAAATATTTTAATTAAAATGTCAAAAATTAAAATTTTGTAATCCTCTACAATTAAATGTAACAGGTGTCCTAAGGGTAACAAAATAATTGACAATTTCCTTAAAAAGTACTTTAAATAAACAGATATATGAATGTTTCTGATGAATTTTCAGAGCAAATGGAAGATAAAAACAACGTGTAAAATTAGCTTTATCAAAAAGCATCTACAACTCCTAGATTTCTAATACTCTTCAAGACACAAAAGAGATATTCCTAGGGAAGGCTACTGCGATACCAAAGGGCCTGGGTTTTAATCGCAGAGAAGGTATGGATGCTTGTAAATGTGGTGTCTGTGCGGAATGAAGGCACTCTAAATATATGGGAAGCAGAAAATCCTGTGAAGAGGCTGTGGTAGGAGAAGAGGGGTGGAAGACCCTCACACACATCCCTCCAGGATGCTCTCCTTCAAGACTGGGGGTGGGTACCGTGTTTCTGAGTGAAGTCATACTGGCACATGTATGGTGTTCAAAACTCTTCACAATGATAAGACGCAATCTTGTTGTCCTTTGTCATGATGAATTTTGTGGGCTTCTACTGATATCAGTCAGGCAATAGAGATAAGTCACACCAACAACAGAGATATTCCTCTCATACTTTAATAATTATAAAGAATTTTCCAATCAGCTTATACAGTGGTGACCAAAATTGTGGACACTTTTGGAAATTTTTATGTTTTTGAACTTTGTATGCTTATAGAAAACGTTACGTTTCACAAAATGCAAACTTGTATATATCATTTTAAAGAGAATTTATTACTGAATTCAATACAAAACACAAAATTCAATTATTTGCAATACAAAAAAAGTTAAACGATAATAGTTATCGATATACATTAGATAGTGATGATTGCAGTGAGTTATCAGTACTTAGTAGGGTATCCTTTATTTTTGATTACAGCTTCACATCAACGTTTCATTGAGCTGACAAAAGTTGTAAGCTCTTCTTTCATTATTACATGATGCCACGAAACAATTATAGCCTCAATTAGTTAGTTCCCTTTTATTTGATACACGCCTTATTCGGACAAGAGTTTTCAAACGGTGCCACAAATTTTGGATAGGATTGAGGTCAGGACTGTTTCCTGGCCATGACAACAGTTTAATGCTCTTTGTACGCAACCACTCTTTTGATATTTTGGCCGTGAGGCAAGGAGCAGAATCCTGCTGAAAAATAAACGAAGCATTGTTGGGAAAGAGATCTCTGATGGAAGGTAGAAGTTTTGGTTCCAGAATAGTGTCAATGTATTTTCTGGCATTCAGTGTCCCATCAATGACATGAAGGCGACCAATACCATCTGCTGACATGCATGACCAAATCATAAAACTAACTGGATTCTTCACAGTTGCTCGAATGCAGTCAGGATGTAGCTCTTCTCCTATTCTACGTCTTACATATTTTCGCCCATCACTAATGAATAACGATATCTTAGTTTCATCACTCCATATAACTTGTGACCACTGATCATCTGTCCAATTAATGTGTTCCTTTGCTCACTGTAGTCTTTTTTTTCGTTGCTGAAAATTAAGATAAGGCTTTTTTCGTGGAATTCTACCTCTCAGTCCAACATCTGTTAATCTTTTCCCGATTGTTCTCGAACTAACAGAAACACCAGCATCATTCAGATCACTTCTGATGGCCGCTGATGACATTTTTCTATCTTGGAGAGAGTCTTTTTATTCTTCTGTCATCAATAGATGTGGTGCCCCTTTTTCGACCTTTTCCTCCTCTGTTTTTTATTGAATTTGTCTCCTGATATCGTAAACAAAACTTTCGGACTCCAGATGTAGTCACTGAACCACCCACCTGTCTTCCAATTTCAGCATAGGAAAGACCACTTTCTCGTAACACAATAATATTACATCTCTTTCTAGGTGTCCAGTCTACTCTTTTATTTGATGTCATTGCTTCTTGACTAGTTTTTACAAAAATTCCTACTTGTAATTGCAGTGTATAAGAAACAGGTCCTCCTTCTACAGAACAAAGCAAAATAATGAATTGTTTCAAGTGTAAACATGATGTCAGCTATTACTGGCAGTTACTAACATTTTATTGGTTCTCAGAACAAGAACAGTGATTGGCCAGGAAAGCTAGACATTACAAACACTTCATAACTGTGTTTTTTATTTATATTAAAGTACATATAACTTTTTTTTGTATTGAAAATAATTAAATTTTGTGTTTTGTATTGAATTCAGTAATAAATTCTCTTTAAAATGATATATACAAGTTTGCATTTTGTGAAACATAACATTTTCTATAAGCATACAAAGTTCAAAAACATAAAAATTTCCAAAAGTGTCCACAATTTTGGCCACCACTGTATTTTAGCAATAGTTGTTAATAATATTTAACTCCAGAAATTAATTAATAATTAAATATTATTAAGTAACATTACCTTTCATAGCAACACGTAACTTTTTTTCCAAAGGAGCTGCTAGCTTATCAATTTGTTTCATCTTTTTCTCTACATCTTCTAATTCCAGATATATGTAATGGCTGTTATCTAATGAGTGCTAAAATAGAATAATTTATTATTATTATAATTAAAAATATTATAAAAATGTAAACTGAGAGACTAACACATTACTCTGATTCTTCAAATACTTTTAAATCCTCTTCAAATAAAAAAAAATGACAATTAATATGCAATAACATAATGATTAGATAAACTTTAGAACAGAATGAAAAATGAAGGAGTGCTGCAGTAAAAACGATATGAAGTTGATTCACTGACATTTATACAGATAATAAAGATTACATTTTAGGAAAAGCAAGTGAATGAGTGAAAATTATGCAGAACACTCAAGGACATTTTTTACAATTCCTATAGAGGTCTTAAAAACAGTTCTAAAATGTTGCAACTTATATACAGCAAAACTGACATGCAACATGCAAGAGATTAAACATGAATTTTAGATTACAACACACTATTCCATAACAGAAGTGCATTTGCTAATTCAAAATTATTTATTAAAATACATTTAACTCTTCTCATTTTTCTGTTGCTCAAATTCAAATTTGTTACTTCATGAACACATACAGTCATAAATTAAGGATCATAACAATTCTGATATATACAGTTATTTAACATAGACCAAAAGTACATATATCATGATATATAATTTGATGTTATAATAAAAGAAACCAACAATCATGGATGAAATAAAAGAAATTTGGAAGTCATCATATTTATTGGCTTATATCTTTGCACAAATTCAGATTTTAATATTTTACAGAAATGTTAATATGGAATATGATACAAATGGATACAGATGCATAACATACAACAATATGGCACATGCCAGATGAAATTAATGAATTATTCCTGACAGCTAGTTCCATTCCTACAACAATGCTTTATATACAGTTTTGGACGGGAACAAATATGAAGATTTCTCTTTACAATGTATCACCTGAGCATATCCCAAACACGTTTGATAGAAATGAATCAGGAGGCCTTGAAAACCAGTCTAAGTGCTGGATGTCTTTCATAAATGATGAGGTCTGCCTAATGAAAACACATTACCATCCATAAAATGTGAATATAGACCTGGTTGCATCTCTAAAGACGCAAACATAATAGTCAACATTCACATCTCAATAAATCTGGCCATTAGCAGTACCTCCATTAAAGACATAAAAAGATGTGAGAAACTACCAAAAAGCCACACATACCAGAACCTCTACTCAAAGTAGAACTTTCTGTTTATATACATCCACATAACCATCAGATGCCTATATGTCAAGTACCAGAGTTCAGAAAGAACTTGGAAGTCACTGGGCAACCCTGATTATTTTTCTATACACTGCATTCTAGTATCATGCTATGTGAGCTCTCCTATGGCTTGGTATCAGTGGCATGCACTTCCTATGTCAGTGGAACTATATTTGTTAATGTGCGAAGTAATGGTTTGCTGGGACATTTGTATTTCAGTATTTCTCACAATATTTCTACTAAGCTCTCTTCTTGCACTAAGCAATCATCTTTCTGCAAGTCGACCCAAATAGGGATAATATGAGTATTTGTTCTACTATGTAGGAAATTTGCATCATACCATAGCATCATGTGACATTTCTGGTCATTTCAGTCATCTGCCACAATCTAGCAGTAACACTTTGTGAAATTTGAATCCCGACTCATTGCATATTTCCTGGATCTCACACAGTTCAAGTTAGCCATCTTCATAAAATGTCATCCATATGTCATAATCCACTAGAAAAACACAGCACTCATAAAAACAATGCACAAAACATGTGGGTTCTCCAGATACCTCTTAGGAAATAGGAATCATTCGCAGCAGGAATCCTCTTTCATTACCTTATTTGCCAGTACATTTTCCCAACAGGCATTAAGTGCATTAGAGTACTATGCATAACACATACATACTTTCAAGTAGAATAATGTAATGTAATGCAAGTTTCTCTCAAATTCCCTTTGATCCTTAATTTATGGATATGACCATTTTATAACGTATATTTCTTGCCAGTAATTCTGGCAATTTTGCAGAAAACTAAGCGGATTAATTTCAACACATAAATAGCTTCTCTCAATAAAGTAGCAGAATATTTTATATATATATATATATTCTTAGAAAACATACCTGTGTCCTGGAAATTGGCTTATTTGGAAATGATGACTGAACACCTAATTAAATGAAATGTTCTTTATTTTGATATCAAATTATAATAAATAAAACAAAATAGCAAGGTGTAACAGCTGATAATTAAATTAATAAACAAAATTCAGAAATTTTTTTTTCCTCTTATGGCCAATTATTAAAAGAAAAAAATAAAGGTTAATTATAATTATATTAAAGCAAAGTGATAATGAAATGCATATATTGGCTCACCCCCCAAATTCTGCAGTTTTTCAATTCAAAGCATGTTTTCTCCTAATCATTTTTCTACTGCTGACAGTGAGTGACCTTGTTGAAGCAGATATATAAATATGTTATTTCTCATCATAACTGTGTAATTCTAAAGTGTTGCGGCATAATTTTTGTTTCAAAGTAGTGCTACGAATACAGAACCCAAAAGTTTATCATGGTCTTTTACTTTATAAAAGGAAAAAAAATTCTAGTCTGACTGCTGGTAAAATTTCTGCTATGCATGGAAAAAGTGCTCTCTCTGGTGATAAAGTTCGAAGCTAATTTGAGAAGTTTATGCATGGAAATTTCAGCCTTGTTGCTTGCTCTGTAAACAAGGACCTGAAACTATTGATGAAAATCCAAAGTACATAGTTCAGGAACTGTTATAGAGAATAAATATTCCGAAACATACAGCACTTTATCTGCAAAACATTCAGGTATCCAGACATCATAAATTTTATCAGCATCCAAAAATAAAAACGAGCTAGTCACCTCATCAGAATGCCCCAAAACAGATTTACCAAAAACAATATCATGTACAAGCCAATAGGCACTTGAAACAGAGACAGACCAAAATTCAGATGGCTAAAAGTCATTAACTGGAAAACTAAGTAGGGAACACTAAGGGCCAAGAGTAAGATAGCTTGGAATGAAATTCCAAAGAAGGCCTATCATGGGCTGTTGAGTCACTGAAGAAGAGAGTACATGATAATTTGAGGCAGTTATATGAAGAAGGAATGTAAGCTCCTGTGATGTCCATATTTTTACAGAGCAGAATATGCTTACTCGAGTTTTAGCATGCAATTCTGTCCAGAGAAAAAATAAATAAATTCGTTTTTTCAAACGGCTCATTACTGATAATGAGAAGTGGATACTATACAATATTGTTATAAGAAGAAAATCATGGGGTAAGCTAAAAGAACCTCTTTAGTATCATCCAAAGGGGGATGCATCTGGAAAAAGTAATGCTTTATGTATGGTGGAACTACAAAGGAATTGTATACTATGAATTGTTGCCACCAAATCGGATAAAATATTTGGAAAACTACTCTTCCCAAAGGGCAGCTTTAAAAGCTGAAATTGAAGCAAAGCACACGAAACTGACGAAGCTTCAAAGCTGTTGCCTTCCGTCACAACAATGCCAGACAAACACTTATTGAGTATGGCTGAGATGTTTGTATCACCAGCCATATTCACTAGACTATTCTCCCTTAAATTTTCATCTCTTCAGGCACTTCAAAATTTTCTGAATGGTTTGGAGTTCACTTCTTTGCATATTGACTAACAGCATGTCAACAACTTCTTTATGAATAACCCAAATGGCTTTTTATAAAGGACTTTCCCTGCTGCCTGAAAGATGGCAAAAAGTCCCGTAGAATAAAATGGTGCTTATGTGATTCAATGAAAATTTCTTATGCATTTGTACTGCTTCTTTTGTATTTAACACGAAAAAATACAGAACTTTTGGGACTTATTCATCCTCGTGTAATTAAGGGGTTCAGAATTCTTCTTTGTGAATTTTTTTTTTTTTAGTTAGCCATTTATGCTAGCTGATGCAGTATAGTATCCAATTTCAAATAATAAATAATCCAACACTTCTTCCCCATTAATGAAAATTTTTTCCAATGCACTAAATCAAATAATTGATTTTGATTACTATGTAAGCAACATGTACTTTAAGTTAAACATAGCTGAACTCTGTCAAAAATATATGTATAAGGTTCTATGTAATTGTTTTAGACCTTACAAAATCGCTAAACTCTAAAAATTTATAACAAACTTTAATAAGCCACATATGAGCAATCTGAAAGAACATTAAATCCCCCTTAACCTTGCCCCAAAACAATATGGAAATAAATATCATGATCATTGCATTTTTTCCTAAATTCATAATTCATAACCAGTTAAAAATGTATATTTTTCACATCTTTTCTTAGTAAGTTTGTCTTTGAGAAACTGAGTTGTATTGTTACATTTTCCCATACTTGATAGTATGTTAAGTTCTTTATCTGAAATTTACAAATCAGTTACTCATTCTTTAATTTCAATCCATATTTTTTATTTACTTACTCACCCTTCTTTTAAATAACAGTTCCAAACTAAAATAAACTTATAGCCTTCATTAGGTTTTTTATATAATTTCCTTGATTAGCAAAAAATCAACAGCCTTACATTGTTATATAGGGCGCAAAAGAAAAACAAATTTAAAACTAAAACAATTTTTTAAAAAACCCAACAATCTATAGAATTTAATATATTAAAAAAAATTCAGCATTTAATTACTTTAGCAATGGTAATAGATTACATACAAAAGTTTAAAAACTATTGCTAAGTCTAATTTAGTTACAATGCACAGAGAAAGAACTATTAAGTTATACCTTTTCTGGCAAAGGTTGATTTCATGGAATGCACACCTTTATACTGATCTGGTATGCCTGCATGAAATAGATCAGGGGACTGGTCTATAATTTTTTTTGAATTACTTTGCAAGAGCAAATTGTTTCCGTTTTTCTACATGCATGAAAAGAAAAATTATTTAATTTTACAGTCACCATAAAATAACTGCAATCAGATTTTTTTTTCACTCAAAATGCAAAATAATTCAAAAACACGTTGTTTTATAAAGGTAATACCTGATTTTCTGCTAAAATATTTAAATTTTCATGACTGCAGATATTGGATGAATAGGATCCTGTACATAAAAAATGTACATATATTAGCAAAAAATAAATCAAACTGTAATAACAGCTAGTTATAAAGTAATATAAATATGTAAGTATTAACTTGTATAGAACTGTCATGTCAATTTGTAGCACTAAAATATTTATGTATATTGTTTTTTTTTTTTTTTTTTTTTTTTTTTTTCTAATGTACTGGGACAAAATGCACTTTTCCAACGAGCTTCAGCAACAAATTTTGGGCAAAAATTTAGTCATTTTTTAAAGGTTCAACCAGCTGTGAGAGCTAATAATTACTTGAATATATAATTGTGATCTAGAATTTTTTAGATTTTACATCCACTGTCAAATCAGCTATGGTTGCTTCTAAGCTCTGATAATCTTATTGAAATTTTACATTAGCATCTTTAAAATCTGTAATGCAGGTATCAGCAGGTGTTTTAATACACTTTTATTTCAGGAGGAATTTCCCCCCCCCATAAACTTTTATTTCCTTGAGTTTCGGATTTTCACAGCTTGTTCTCCAAAGATTTACCGTCCATACCCAAAATTGCAGAACTATTCTAGCTTCACCGCATACTGATTATTTTGATCCCTAATGTATCTACAGAAACCTTTTTAGACATAATAATAGTAAAACTTCAATTTAATTAAATCTTTTAGTTCATAATTTACTCTATACCCAAGACAATGTAACAATACAACAACTAAAGGTGTCTAACTTAATGAAAATACATGTACCTAGATGCTAACCTTTGAAATTTACATCTATGTGTTGGCAAATTGGCATCAATCCTTACTGCTTACAGAGAATGTTAAGATAAACTCAAAATGAAAAAGTTAACATAAAACTTTATTACTCACAACTTGTGGGTTTACACTTAATACAAAATAAGTTAAATGCAAACATTGACTTTCGCAGATTCTACTTTTGCATAATTTGCTGTTTCGTACAGTTTTTAAAATTAAATGTTTTAAAAATTTTTAATTGTAAAATAATTAAAAAATTTGCTTTTTCGGCTCATTCATTTTGCCTGCTCCGCCCCCTTACCCTTATCAGCAGGACTCCTAAGCTTCACATGATTAAGACAAAGATGGAAATAATTAAATATTCTGAAAACAGTGAAATTTTTTTTGCTACATTCGGACATTTGGAGAATGTAAACAGATATACAATACGTTCACTTTTGGAAAATATGAGTAAAATTAAGGAATATGTTAAAAATTATGAAAATATATCTTCAGTGATTGTTTCCAAAAGACATAGCATAATGGTGGATGAAATGGAAAGATCTTTGCGATCAAGGATTGATGATCAACATCAAAATAATGTCCCTCTGAGTTTTTCAATTATTCATGCTAAGGCTCTAGTTTGCATGAAGATTGGGTGACCAGATTAAAATCAGATTCAAGCACAGTGTTTCATGCAAGTAATGGCTAGTTCAACAAATTTTAAATGAGATCTTCTTTACATAACATTAAATTCAGTGGAGAATCGGCCAATGCAGACAAAGATGCTGCAAAAGAATTTGTTTCCTCATAGTCCAAAATTATTGTAGATGAAGAATATTCTTTTAGTCAAACATTCAACATAGATGACAGAGATTTATTTTGGAAAACAATGTCTAATCATGCATTTTCATCGAAAAAAGAGTCAGTTGCCCCATGGACATAAAACTTCCCAAAACCAAATGACATTTCTTCTCTGTGGAAAGTTAGCTGATGATTTAAAACTGAAGCCAGTGCTAGCTTAGCAAGCGGAAAATCCCAGAACACTAATGAATTGCTTCCAGTCACTTGCAAATCAAATAAAAATGCCTGGGTTATTGCACTAATATTTAAAGACAAGTTCACTTCTCATTTTGTGCTGACAGTTAAGCAATATTGTAAAAATAAACACTGGAAATTTAAATCAATATTAATCTTAGAAAATGCTCAAGGATACCCAAAATATCAGCAGAATTTATACCTGGAAATAAATGTTTCATTTCTTCCTCCCAACACTACCTGCCTCATACAGCTCATAATAATGTCTATTATTATGGCCATTAAGGCAACTGATGGGTATAGACAAAAATCGGGAAAATGGGCAAACATTAAGAGATTTTTGGATATGTGGAAGATAATAAGGAATATTGGAGATTCGCGAACTCATAAAAGGTTCCTGCAAACAATTATGCTCATAAATAATGAGTGAATTTTACAAATTTTGAAGAAACACCAAAAATTTTAACAGATGAACTATTTTGCCTAATGAATGAACTAAACTAGTATATCAACAATTAAGATATTGACTAAATCTCCCTCAGTGCCTTTGTCAAATGAATCCTTATTGTGCAACAATTGAGCAACAATGAAATATACAATGAAAGTGAGGAAGAAGAAACTAATAAAAACGTCCACACTTTAACAATTAAAAATAAGAATGAGCCTTCACGCAGCTTGACAATTTTTTTACTATCATGCAAGAATGAGATCTCAATAGAGAAAGTATATCTCAAGTATGTAGGGGGACTGAGAAAGACACATCATGTCACAGAAATCTTTGTCAAAAAAAGGGGAAAAAAGTCATAGTCAACTAATGCTGACAAGTGTATAAAGAATATACCTGAAAGCACTTAAACATGCCTTGTTAACTTCATTATGTATACATATTGATAAATAAATACTTTTAAACACAGTTTCTGGTGTATATTTGTTTTTTACATTCCTCTACTTTCAAACAATTCAACATTCGCACAACTTTCAGGAACCAATTATGTGTGAAAGTCGAGGGCCACCTGCATTTACTTCTTGTGGACTGCTACTCATTGCTACCTCTACAAGATATTGGCTACATTATAACTCTAGCAACTCTGTGTGAAGCTACAACACTAGCTGGATTGGACAGAAAGAAAGCATAAAACTATTCAACTCATCAATCATGACAGTGTCAGAACCTTACTACTTGAAAGTGCAGCTCTACCTAGGAAAGCAGCAGCATCATACAGAACACCAGAGAGAAACTACTGGCCTGGCTACAACCTTTCAAGAATTGCGTCGGATCTCCTGGAGATCCTTGAAATAGGTGCAGCCCCCGCAGTCCCCTCTGGGCTTTATGAGCTTGAGAAGAAAAAGAACGCTCACACTAAACAGAAGCAACAAAAACTTTGCTCCCGGGCACCACTCTGGTTGCAATGTAAAAATTTATCAGTTCAGTTTACTCTGTCAGTCCCCCAACAGAGTACCAAATGAAAGCAAAACGACAAGAAAAGCCTCATATCTCACCATGTTGTGACACCACAGCCAAGACAGTACCATATGGTCCTTGCCAAGCCCAAACCATCCCCCAAATGAACATAGGGTCTAGTACTGTGAAGACTCATTATATACTCCCATAGCCGAGGATGCCAAAGTACAGATCTTAAACAGTAGCTTCACAACGGTTTACCAGTGTCGACTCCTTGGAAGTGGAAGTCGCATCATACAAATGTCGCCAAATGGTTAAGTTTGGCGACTTTTGGAAATTTCTCGCCAAATTTAGTGAAAAAATTAGTCACCTAAGCCATTACCAGCTTGGCGATATCTCACCAATTTAGCAAGATAGCCATTTACCTTAATGTTAATTAGAATTGCCCTGTAATCTTATTCTTTCAGGAGAGCTTTGACTCTACAGATTTTCATGTTACAATATACAACAGATACTACAATTTTAAACATTACTTCATTAAAATTATTTACATATATATATACACAAATTCATAACACTGCTTCCTTCCCAATGATTGCACGTCCCGGGCAGTACAATCCCTGGACAGGAAGCCATATTTACACTAAAGAAAAATCAATGCAATAACAATAATTTCAATAAATAACATAAATAAATGCATGAATTTACAGATTTGTAAACAAACAGGACCATGGTCTTAGTTTACTATTTACTTATATACACTATGGGGACTACATACTTATGGCCTTAGTAAAGAGTTAGCCTATCGTTGTGAATGACTTTAGGCTTAGAATTTGATGGCTTACAGATCCTAACTATGTTTAGGACTGTGTAAGGACCTTCCCAGGGCGACTGTAGTTCAGGAGAAAATCTTTTTCATCAAACAGGATTCAATAACTGCAACTTGATGTTTCTGTTGAACTGATATCCTGTTGGATCGTGTCTTCACCTTCTCTGTCGCCAAGTTGACTCACTCTCGTGCACTGTTCATCAGTTCAAACCGTGCTTCACGACCTCCTCAGGTGATAAAGGTGCATCCGGAGGGCGACCAAATTACAGATCACAAAGCAGACGAAGGTCATGACCAAAGAGCATCTGGGATGGGGAATAGCTGGTAGTTTCGTGGCCAATAAGAGAAGAGGTAACTTCTGGTCCCAGTTCTGTTGGTTTCTGGAAACCATCATCAAGAGGTTATTAAGGAAGGTTATTATCTACCATGCCATCTGACTAGGAATGTAAAAGCATCATTTTGGTTTTCTCAATGGCAAGCAGCTTGCAGAGTTCTTTAATTACAACCGAGATGAAATCCCTTCCTTGATCAGAATGCAACTGAAGAAGCCCTCAATACCTGGAAATCTATTACTGTGTCATTACTTCTGCTACTGTGACAGCCTCTTGATCAGAAATAGGACAGACTTCAGGCCATTTGGTGAAGTAATCAATTGCAACGAGGATGTATTTGTTGCCATTAGCAGTTTGTGATAGAGATTCCAGAATGTCAAAGGCAATGCGTTCAAAAGGGGATCCTACGTTGTAATGTTGCAGCTTACCTCGGCTACGTTTCTTCTATCCTTTCCAATCTACACAAGCATCACATGATTGGCATCACTTTTGCAACTCAGCCCTTGCAGTACTTCAGTAGAAGTGCTCTTGAGCTCTACGTAAAGTTTTCATTATTCCGAAGGGAGCTTCCTCTCGGGCTCTTATGTAGTTCTTTAAGCATGTCCAAGATCTGGGATCTTGAAGGTATCTGCTGCCATAGGAATGCTTTTTTATCATTCAATTCAAACTTCTGTTACATCATGCCATTTTGAATGTGGAGCCAGTGCCAGACAGCCCAATATCGTTTTGTCCTAGAACTATAGATCAAAATGTCCTGCCAGGTAGGTTTCCTATTTCAAGATTCTATTACATCAATCATGGGTTTAATGTCATCGTCTTAAAATTGGTCTTTCCTGACTTTGGCACTCCATAGTTCTGAGTCCGATGTTGAAGTTGCAATTTGATGTGCAAACAGATTAGCTAGCTCGTATTTTGCTTCGAGAGTGAAAAAATATTGGCAGTTTTCTGGACAGGGCCTCCTGGATAAGGCATCGGCGTTTCAATGTAATAATCCTTTTTTTATGGCAGATAATTATGTCATATTCCTTGACTCTATGTATAAATCTGGCTATATGGCCTTCAAGATTCATGAAATTTAATAGCCAGGTCAATGATGAATGATCTGTATGGAAGAGGAATTTTCTGCCATAGAGGTAATGGTGGAAATGTGAAATTGTAGAGTAATGTGTAAAGGTAATGGTGAAAATGGCTTCAACTATGGTGAGCAAACTTTTTTGGAGTGACATAAAAATTCCTCTCCAGTTTAGACAGACATTTTTCGAATATGCTACAACAGGTTCTTGACCGTTTATTTCTTGAATCAAAAGTGCACAACATTCTCTATGCTCGCATTCATGCTAAGAATAAATGGTTTAAGACACAATAACACGCCTAATAAATACTAAATAAATGGTTTCTTGAGCTGAGGCTACATCAGGATTGTCACAGATGCTAAAGCAGCCTTCAGGTTGTTAAGAAGAAGAGAAAGATATCTGATATCAAAAGTAGAAAATGTATTTCCTTATCATTATGGCATTTGTTATTTAAACGAGCCTTCTCTATAAGTTAACTGTGCTAAAGCAGCAACTCTACTCAGAGTTCTTGTCAAACAGTGACCAAAAGATCAGCAGTCCTAACCACAGTCATTTTTAGTCCACCTGACATGAGAAGAGCTTTGAATAATATAGCTGCTTTGTCATACGCCATTAATATGAAAGCTGTTGGCACAATTTAACAAATGAAAACTATAAAATAACAACATACTACCACAGATAGTTCAGACAGATTTTTCACTGTTTCTTCTGAAAATACCAAATCCAATCTAATACCAAATCCATCATACTCTTATTCTAAAACAGTCTATTTTGTATTAATACCACTAATACATCTTTCACTTTGTCATGAGCTTTTTCTAAACTTTTAGCCATTAATATACCTGCCAAATTTGAAAGAAAAAAAATCGGAATTTTTTTTTAAAAAAACAACTTAGAATGGAATGAAAATAACATTTTACAGAAAAAGAAGAGAAGAAGTTTTACAGAAGTCAGGAGAAAGCTTGAATATATTGAAAAAAAAATTACAGGAGAAAACAGTTAAAAAATTTGATGAACAAAATTGCTATAACACAATTACAGAAGCGTTTCTGCTTTTGCTAAGAAGTAATTTAGAAAATCTGTTATTTTGTTTGAAATTTCAGAATAAAGATATTCAAAAATTATCAGCATTCGTTGGCAGAAAATCACAGATTTGGGTGTTGATTACTACCCACACTAAAGGTACTGCTTTCATTGTGTTTTTTTTTTTTTCTAACTTTATTAAGAATGTTTTTTGGTGGAAAACTACCATTACAACCAGATATATTGTTCACACATTGACCCAAGAATCATTTGCATTATTTTACATTAGCAATATCAGTTTCAGTTCAATCACATTCTTGATACTTGTGTCTTATCATATAACTTTTGCTTTACATTCTGCAGTTAAATTGAACATGTTATATTTAGAGGCTGCTGACTCCAAATTAATCCTTATAATTAGAACTCTGCTTCTTTAAATAACTTTAATGCACATTTTTAATTTGAAAATAATCTTTATTTAAGCTCTTAGCAACCATAAACAATTAATTCATTAGAACAACAAAATTGAATAATCTTTTCATTGTCATTCCAAAAACAACAACAAAAAAAATAAATAAATAAATAAATAAATAAATAAATAAATTAAAAAAAAAATATATTAATCATTATTTAAAATTTCTGTACAACAGTGCTGTGCTCTTATAACTAATCTCACACTTGTCTGATAAAATCAAACAAAGCCCATGAATGTTATCCTGGCAAAGCGTGCAAGACTGCATCTGTCACTGGCATGAGCCTTCAGCACTATATAAGTGGCAATACAACTTTGCCTAGTTCCACCCAAATTTTGAAGAACACACAGAGGAGTGATTCCAATGTTCTCCCATCTCTCTTCCCCTACCACTAAACAACTTAAGAAAGAGGACTATCAGTTTGTCATATGTTCTGAATGCTCCTATGCCACTCAGACACTATACATTTACAAAGATTCATGCTTTCTCCACGATTCAAACCTGGTCCTTCTCTGTGGCGGTCAGTATCACAAAGCACTATACTCTAAGAATGGCCAGGAAACTATTGGTTTAACTTTTGAGACTTTATTATAGCATTTTCTGTACTGGTGTTAAGATTTTTAATGTGCTTTTCTATAGCTTCTTCGTTAGGAATAGAGCCTGTTTTTCAGAGTTCATTAAGTAGATCTGTGAACTAATCTTGACTTATATTAAGCAATTTGTTTTTCTTAATCTTGTAGTAATCTGTAAAGCATAAAAGACCTGAGTAAATGGTCTGAATTTAGGTCACAGTCAATTTTTAGATGGGATGAATAATGAATACTTTTAGGTACTTTTCAGTTTTACTAGCAACCAGTGACTAATCACCCACAATGATATAGTAAACACAAAACCAAGTAACAAGATTTCCAAAATTAGTTTGCTCATAAGCAATCATTTTTTCAATTTCAAAATTATGAAAATGTTCAGTTTACCAGTGAAAATGAAGCTATTGCATTCTTCCACAAAAACAGTTCCCTGCCACTTAGTGCCAAACATAAACTTTAGCATAAAATCTAACTAGATGGCAGCAACGTTAATGATATGTAAAGCTTTAAGGGAAAAAAGTATTAAAAAGAATGTATCATATATCATAATAATATGTATAATGGTTAATGAGCACAGTGCCACATTTGATCAGTTCTCTGACATTTTAATAGATGAAAACAGACCACTGTGTACATGGAAAGAAGTGTTCTCCCCATGTACACAGTGATCTGTATTCACTTTAAACATCTGAGAATTGCAAATTTGGCATCATCTGCAGCTACTGTATTGTGCTCGTAAAACACTACACAGCTATTCACGAGGTGATATAAACAAGCTACCACATTTGGCAAATGCTGCCCCATAAACAGAAAAGAAGTAAAAATTTAACTGAACTACACATTCTACAATTCCAGACCTGATTTCTCACAATTTAGTCTCTTGCTATAATTGCACTGTAGAGAAAGTTATATACAGCCCATATCTTGTCATGGGAATCTATTTTGAAAAAGATTATAAAATAATAGGTACAAAGTGATGCATTTTGCAATGATCCACAACCTCTCATATAGGACATGAAATAACACATACTTGCCTGAAACATTCACAGCTATACATTGTCAAATGTAAAGGATATGAGTTACAATGTCATTGTCTGTAAAGCACATTGCTAAGTGACATGCACACTGCAAGATAACAACTGGCACTTGAACAGTATGACACACTGCATAGACATATTTAACAGCTAATAAGAAGGGTTTTAGACTAATAAGTTTAATATTTAATTAGGTAAATGGCTTGAAATTCTCACATTGTGGTACGAATATTAGTGATGGAGGTAAGATATCCCAGTACCCAGCATAGAGCATGATTTTAAGATGCATTGACAAGCAATTTGTTTAAGGTTATCTACTCATCAGGGAAAAAAAAAATAGCAGCCATTGCCGATCAATACAAGAGCACACCAAATAAAGTGCAGCTAATTGTCATGGCACTTGAGAAAGGAAATAAAATGTAATGTAAAGTGGTCCAAAATCATCAACATGTATGCACCAAATTTCAGAAGGTATGCAGCATGGGAGTTGTTGATGATAACATATATGAAGCTTTCCAGATACTTTACATTTGAAAACCTATAAATGTAAATATTGAGTATATACATCACTTTATATGCAGCAGTTATTTTGCCACCCTCTGCAAAATGTCACATTTAGTTAGTTATTAATGCCAAGTTATTTTCATCTTATGCTCAATGATTCCCAAAAGTTTCACGGAGATTCTCATTGATCAGGCCTTGTTAACAGATTTTCAAACTGAATTGCTGTGGATGACAGACATATTTCAATTAAAAGGTTTTCATAGAACAGATGAATGATGATGCAAGTACTAAAACTGTTAAATAAATTAAAATACATACAACATTTAATATTTAGTTCACATCATCATTCTCTTTTTGATTAACCTAGTAAAATAATTTTAAACCTCTTACCTTTAATGGGGAAACTTTCAGAAGAACGAGAATTCCTCAAATTCACACTTTTGAGAGATTCAGGAACCTGATCTACATATGTAGCAGCATTTTGCACTTCACCACCAGAGAGACCTGAAGACTGAAGATAAAAGCCATCTAGGTCTGGTTTTAAACCCCTCCGTGTTTCAGCAATTAACTTTTTGGCTTTTTCTCTAAGCATCATCTGTCTTTCAAGGTCTTTCTAAAAAGACATATGAATACTACCTTTAATGAGATGAAATAAGCATTCAGCAATTTTGTCTTACATCAGAATTGTATAGAACAAAATACTTAACTTGAACAAAAATCTCATACAATATGAAAACTTCAAAATAAAATGCCTAAAAACACAATATAGCCAAAAATCACCAGATGCTCTGAATTTCACACATTTTCTTGAATTTCAAGAGAAGTGCATGAAATGTTCTCTAACTACAGCCATGTGAACAACATAATTGAACTCACATTTTCCACTGAAAATTCAGTCATGAGCACGTTTAAGAAACCAACAGCAAAATGATTAAGGGGAAAAAATTTTTTGATCATTCCATATCATAAAAACCAAGAAATGAACACGACCCAAGAAAGAGCAAGAAATAATTAAATTATTGTAAATCTTTCACGAAATATTTAACATGCTACGTAAAATGACACATATTTTTAAAAAAAAGGTATAAATATTTCTTTTAGAATTCCTTTTCTTTTTTTTTCTTTTTTTTTTTTTGGCATGTTTTTGTTTATAAATTAGTTTTCAATTGAACTGCCCAAAACTTACAGAAAAAACAACAATGTTCAACAGAATTTTTGAACTGAAATTTGAATTGAAAATGGTGAATATTTGATGAGATATAAGCATTTGAGGAGAAAAATTTTACATCTGCAAATAATTGCACATCTCCAAAATTTATCAACATTTTAATTTTCAAGAAAGCATGTTTTCATATTTCCTGAAAGGTAATCAAGGCATATGATTGCAAGACAATAGCGATTGAGCACGACAATACACCAAAACACCACACTCATTGCATTTTTCGACAAATGTAATCTCTTGGTGGTTACGAACATTACAGTTGACATGAGAGTACGTCCCAGTGTGCTAGAACCATGATGAATAGCATATCAATGCAAAATATCCATTCAATATTGTGACAACATATGCTTCAGAGATATTACAGAAGGTGTTCACAGTTTTTGTAATGATTTTGATTTTCTCCATTAATTTAAATACTAATTTTAAAATATAAATGTGACTAGCATCAAATTTGGGTAAGATTTAATTATCGCCTACAGCATTAAAATACTCTTTCCTTTAAAATGTCTCAGAATAATAAACAATGGATTGAATGCTACATTTTTGCACTGTCCGAAGAGCAATACTGTTATTCAGTTCTAAAAAAAGATATGAAAAGCATATGCATCCCACCCAAGTCCCCTGATGTGTCTCCTATGGATTACTCTTCATCTGGACTCTTAAAACAAGCTCTTTATAAGTGGTATCACAAAACATAGGAGGAACTCTGAAAGATTGTAAAACTGGAGTGGAATAAAATCAACCTTGATGTTTTTAGAAAAGGACTTTTATCTTGGAAATTAAGATGTAATATTATAGTTCAACAAAAGAGCTATCAGATTTAATATATTAGGAAATAAAATTCTAAGATTTATTTATATATAAATCCATGCAAAATAGTTTAAAAATGTGTGATCACCCTCTGTAAGCAGTTTCTACTGGTCAAGACAATGAGTAAAGGTTTGATGAGGTAATCCAACATAATGCTGGCCCAAATATTTACTGCAAATGGCTTTTTGCTGCACAACTTTGCGTTGCATGGGAGTTCGCACATAAGCGTTACTAAAGATTCCTTCCCTCATGAAGCATGATTCATCGGTGAATTACATACAAGGAGGGAAAGGTGAATCTACACCACACTGTTACAGAAATTATGGAGCGAATGCAATCTGGTGTGCATAACAATTTGTTTTAAATACCATAGTAATGCATATGATTTAAATGTATTTCATTTTCTCTCAGAATCCTCCAAATTTAAGTGGAAATCCTTGACTTTGTGTGCTATAGCTTGCAATCTGAAATACATGATGGAACACAGTCTCCTTAAAGTTCAGAGTCTGTCTGTCACCTACTCCTTTCAACTCTCTGAAATGAACCTGTTTCAACTAACCTCTGATGCATGGGTAAAGTCCACTGGATAATATTCCTCATACAATCGCTGTGCGGCTAGCTGGTTACATGCCACAACACTATATACCAGATACGAATCAGCTAACTGTGTTTTCATATAATTACCTTTTCTATTTATTTCTGCATCTATGTGTAAAATGAAACTTCCTTGCAAGAATACACAGACAAATGCCATTTACCCTGGCAGGAAAGCATTTCTAACACTACAATCCTATGTCATTCCAAGTTGTCTCTGTGCACTCTACCCCTTCAACTGTTGTAACTCTGGTACTGAGACACCTTGTAATGTGTATGTACATAAGAATACATACATATATTTATTTATTCATTATAGTTATAGATTACAAAGTAATTAATCACTAACTTGACTAGAACTGTTTGTTAAACCATTCTTGTCTTTATACTGTGGATTAAAAAGTTCTCTGCGTGTCATCTCTAACAGCTGATGAGCCTTCTCCTTTAGAATTTCTTCACGTGTAGGAGGACCCTAAAAAACATTCAGTGAACAAAATATAAAGATATAATAACGTGATTTTGTTTTAAGAAACTTGGGATTAGTGACAAAATATAATACAAATTTCACTGAAAATTAAAAAACAATATAAAATGCAAAATACTCATTAAAATTTAAATTATGTCTCATTAAGTTATGCTACAAAACTAGTATTAATATTCAAAGATGCAATTTGGCTTCTGCCTAAATACAATCACATGCAATTAGTTTTGCATTCCCACCTGAAGTACATGTTTGATACTTAATGCTGCAGAAATATTTCAAAGGATCATTACCAAATTTTAATTTTGCATTCATAAATATATACAGTTTTTAAACTACTGTTAAACAATTTCAAAATCTTCACTAGGATCATTATAGAGGTCACCTATACTTATTCTCCCCCATTTCCTAGTATATTCCTAAACTTACTAGAAAATACAGATGACACTATTTAGAAAGCATGGATAAACTGGCTTTTTTCAGGAGTTATCTAAAGTTAGTCTCGCTTCTCAAGATACCATAAATGATAACTGAGTTAATTATATGGCTATTAAATATCTTAGAGAATTCACATCTGAAACTTTGTAAAAAAATGTAACAAATCCTAGCATTTAAAATAACATGACCAAAAGTTTCTTGGCAAAACTATTCCAGGGTTAATGTTCATTTTATTAAATTCATACTAAAAAATATTTTCAGTGCTATTCACAGTGCAACGTCAAATTATTAGTCTTTGTTTTTCCCATACTATTTCAATACTATTACATATGTTATGATAAAATGAATATCATTTTATATAAATATATAAACTATACTAATACCTTTATCTTTTCATTGATATTATCTTGTGATGAAGATGAGCTTTTTGTCACTCGCGTAGGAGACAAATCAAGAAGCCCTGGCACTTCAATATCTGAAAGATCTACAGTTAATAAGCTAACGGTATTTTCTGGATCAACTATTTCATCTGCAATTATTGGAGGCACTCCGTGGTGACAATACAAAGAGTCAGCATATTTTTTATTTTCATTAGCAGATCTACATATTTCATCACAATTTTTCTTCACGGGTGTTGATGAGCTCAGTGGCAAAGAACTCTGTGTTTTCAGGAGTTCTTCCTCTTCTTCACTATCAGAATCAAAGGGATTCATTAACTGCTTCCTTGTCATCAGCTTCGGGCGCTGTTTCTCAGCACTGACTAGAAGAGAACTTTTTGTATTATCTTCTGTTTTGTGTGAAACAAAATTTAAAGTTTGTGAATTATCATCCAAATTACATTTGGGTTGATGCAAATCTTTCTTAACATCACTAGACTGAGCAAGTTTTGATTTCCTGTGATATAATAACTTAGAAAATGAACGCTCAACATTCCCCTTTTTATTTTGAGCATTATTGGGGAACAAAACTTTACTTCTTTGATTTTCAGAATTAAGGCACTCAAGATCAATAAGATTTACAGGTTTTACTTTGTTACTAAAGTTGCTAATTAGGTTCGCTGATATCACTGTATTATGCTGTTCATTTTCTTCATTAATTGCTTCAATAATATTTTTAGCAGAACCGTCTATTACATCTGAATTATGATTTTTAATATCTGCTTCAGTAGCAAAGTCACAGATAGTTTTATTTGGATCTTCAGGAGATAATTTTAAGTTAACTGGCTTTTGCCCACAGAAAAAAGCTTTCAGTTGATACAGATATGTCATAACAGCCAATTTGTCTGGAACAGCTAGAATCACCATATCAGTATGTTCAATAACTTTTGGAACACCAAGACTCTCTGCTGTATCAAAAGCCTGAAAAGAAAAAAACAATTACATAACAGTAAAGGAATTTAAATTTATGCCATAAATGCTTTATTTCAGAAATTCACACTTTTCACAGTGAAAACAAAAATTATGATACCTCTTTGCATGAAGATGAATTAGACTAGAAATATTTCAAAATTTTTACCCCATTTTATGCAAAAAGAGAACAGATATTACCTTTTTACAATTATCCTTGATGTTATGTGGAGTCAAAGAATCAAAATCTATCAAATCAGGTCGAAAGTGATGAATTATTGCACAGAAAGCCAGACCATTTCTCCAAGATGTTGTCATATTTGTAATATTCACACCTTTGTAACCTTTTGTTACTTCTTTACACCAAGTTAACAATTCTCCAACGCCACCTAGTGAATGACAGCTTTCATCTATAGAGAGGATCTTTGATGAGTTGGACCTAAAACAGGAAAAAGTAGAAAAACATAATCACTTGAAAACCCATCTCACTCACAGAGTTATGATGAAAATCTGGTCATATACTTTTAAAAGAAAATTTTTGCATGTTATGAATGTTTGCATTAATAAAGTATTTGAAAAATCATAAGCTAATAAACTTGATGAATGTGCACTGTAGAAATTGCTAAGCATTTGTTACAACTGGAAACAAGAAACTAAAATTTATATAGTTGCCAGATCAACTGACAAATATATATATATATATATATATTGTTGCAAACTATGGGATTATTGTCGTTTCTTTGGATAACAAGCTCATATATGCAGAAGAAATGAAAAAATTATTAGGAAAATAGGTAAAACAAACAGTACACATAACACATTAATGGCTGGAAGTAACCCAAGGAGAATGTGGATATTCAGGAATTCCTCATTAACACATAAAATAAATCATAAAGTTTCTCGGATCATTCTCTCAGGGTAAACCCTAACTCGTAGTTCAGCTAACCACTAAGACTCGAAGCCTATTCACAGTCATTTCACAACTGAATTCCCCTCTGTGTCAAGGACAGGCTCTGGAAACTTCTGAAAGACCTCGGTCATAGAGCTTCAAAAATGTATTTTCATGCATCTTCCAAAATGTTGCCAAGTAAACTACAATTATATGAAACAATTAAAGGCTTAAATACAAGACATGGCCAAAAATTCGATTAAAGGCAAAATAAACCATAAAGCTACAATTCTAAAAACAATACAAAGAGTTACAACAATACAGAACCTCAAAAATATAATAAAAAGGAGTAAAATATTTACAAGACTATGCATCCTTTCTGTTTCACAAAGTAAAGGAATTGTTCACAGCAGTCAAAATCCTGCATTAAACCTAGATCATAAAATATATTCAAATACATCAGGAAATTAAAAGATTTTAATTCCAGTATTCTATGCACTATATTATGGTTAGTGCAAACCATTTAGGCAGGTTTAGCAGCAATAGTCATATATTTGGTTAATACTTTGGTTTTACTGATACCTACATAATGGAGATACATACTCTTAAGTTTATGCTTTCTTTATTCCTAGATTGCATAAAAATTATACATTTTTAAGAGATACAGTGTTAAATAACAAAATCTAACTATACAATTACTACACTTGTGTACAAAATTAACAGAGTTTGCAAATTGTTTAATTTTGCAAAAAGTACTAAACTAGAGGTACCACTGAAGAACTATGCAATGTTAGGCCACATATGTTAGCATACAGATGCCTGCCAGTTGAGCTGTGATTGTAGACTGGCATAAGCGCACAATGAAATTTGCATTTTTGCATTTTTCATTAAGCACACAATGCAATTCAGCAATTTTTGTGCTCATGTAATAAACAAGTTCCCATAGTTCACAGTATTTGAATGTTTCTTGCAAAAGTCAGATAAATTCCATTAAGGTATCAGGTAAAATGTGTAGCCACAAACGTACAGATAATTGAATGAGATGGAGAATTGTTGGTGGATTGGAGGCAAGCCAATCACAAGTCCTGGTGGCTATACAGCTTAGTGTAATGCCCAGTGTCACTTGCAATTTGCAGAAACAGTTTCAGGGCACTGGATCCATATCAAGAAGACCTAAACATGGTCAACCAAGCTCCATAACAAAGAATGAGGAACTTCATTGGGCAGTTTCAGTGCAGTGACACAACTGCCTACAGTTTCACAGCTCTCACACGAGCTGTGCTGCCACTGGAATCCAAGTTTCACAGTCTACAGTTGCCTAAAGTCTTCATGAGATAAAGCTGTATGCCAGAAGACTGTTTACATTCCACTCACTGCAGCACACAAGAAAGCATATTCAGGATGCTTCAGACAACATGCACCTTGGACCAGACTTCAGTGAAGCACCACGGTTTTTACAGATGAGTCAAGATTCAACCTGGTCACTGATTCTCGGTGTACCTATATGCGGAAAGAGCCTGGAATTCAATACCATCCCTCTCTTATCAGGAAAAAGGAACATTATGTTTGTGGAGGTGTAGTGACTGGAGCAAGTATTATGCTGTCACACACCCTGGCACAGGTTTGACAAGGGCTTCCTGACTGCTATCAGGTACAGGAAGATCTTAAAGCCCTATGTTTTGCTTTTCAGGAGCCCAGTTAATCCTAGGTTCCTGTGAATAGAAGACACATGTCCACAATGGATTCACCTGGTCAGTAATTACTAAGAAAGTGATGATATTCATCACATGGATTGATCTTCAGTGGATCATATAGACCAGCCAGATCTTCAGACCTTAACTCTATACAGCATGTCTGAGATGTCTCTTGGGAGGGAAATTTCACCTCGCCATCCCCCTCCAAGAATCATCTCAGAGTTGAAAACTGCCTTGTTGTAACAGTGGAATCGACTGCCACAGAGTCTCCTCAACAGACTCCTGTGTAGTATGTGGTTATTCTGTGTAACCTGTCTGACTGCAAGAGGGGACCATGTGCCACATCATTTTCAGTTCTATGTTAGAAAGTGGATTTTGAAAATCCCTGCACTAGTAGCTTTGCTGATAATGATGTGTACAGAAATTTTGTGAAATTTGGTGAGAAACTTCCCAAGAAATTTATCTTGGCACTTTTTTTTTTTTTTTTTTTTCAGTTTGTGCCAAGAATAATTATTTCACTTGGTGAAATTTTTAATTTACACAAATCTCTTTTCCTTTCTTCATTGTGCACGAGTAGAAAAAAAAGGGGCATCTTTTATTCTTTTCAAATAATTTTAATAGAGTGCATAAAGCACATTTCACATTATTATCGCTTATAACAAATATGCCAAACTTCAAAACGTGCCAATACATAAATTCATGTATATCTTGGGTAATTTTGAATATAAAAATAAAATTTTTTGCATGTATGCCTAGAAATACATCTACTTTTAGGTGATAGTAAAAATTTTACAGGTTATAATTCAAAAATGTTTTCTAAAAATTTATAAAATTGACTAAAAAGTAAAAATTTTAAAAATAAATAATAAAATACCCACGGATTCTATTTGGGTATAACCTAAATTTCGAACTGTGAAAAAAAGGAATCAAGTACATTTAATAAAAAAAGAGATATTAATAAATATACACCAAATTCAACTAACACTGAGGACCTAATTTTTTAAAAAACTGCTTGTTCACTTTTTATGAAACTTGTCACTCTGGCATAATTTGAGTTGTACAACTGAAATAAATCGACATGTCATTTCAGAAAAAGTGCAATTTTGTGTCAAAATACCTATGTTTGAACAATGCTCTATGCAAATCTAATATACATCAAAGAGCCATTACATTATGACCACCCTCCATCTATAACAATGGGCTCACCTAGGAACAAAACCACTATGCACGTGCAGCTGATGTTGGAGGTACGTAAAGCAGCTATGCATTGTTTTTCCAAACATAGTGCGATTAGCAATATAATGGGAAAAGCAGCTGATTTATCAGACTTAGACAAAGGTCAAAATCATTATGGCTCGTCGATTGGGAACAACAGTATCAGAAACGGTGCATTTAGTGGGCTGTTCACGTCCAGTTGTTGTGAGCACATATCGAAAGTGATGTACGGATGGTGAAACGACACATCGCCGGCCAACAGTGTGTCATTGACGGCACACTGATTTCAGAGGAGAGCAGAGATTGCTATGCATTGTTTACCATGACCGAAGAGTAACTACAGTCGAAATCACCACTAGCTACAACAGTGTTTCTCAACACACTGTGCAGCATACATTGATGTGTATGGGCCTACACAGCCGGAGGCCAAAGAATGTCCCTGCACAGATGGCACCTCATTATCAGCTGCGTCTAGTGGACCAAGAAACATCGGAATTGGACATTAGAAGAATGGACGAAAGTTGCATGGTCCAACGAATCACGTTTTCTGGTCTATCACACCGACGGGCATATGCTAATACGCCAATTTCCAAATAAAACCCTCGGATGCATAGTTGGACGGAGACAAACCGGTGGCAGGGATATTACAGAGTGGGTGGTGTACGCAGAAAACAACGCAAGGTGAAAATGTCATGGTACAAACATCGTGGGAGAAAAGAAAGCAAAGAGAAAACAACGCAGTTCTAAAACTTCGTGGTCGAAAATAAAGTGGTTCAAAAACTTCACAGTTTAAAAACACAGTCGTAAAAAATAAGTACCTACAATACATGGCATGAATATAACATTGCACACATCAGTTTTCAGGTTTCAAAAGCTGTAATTGCATATGCGCAAAATGATTTGGGAGCGGAAGAAGGAAACCAGTATTTTTACTTCTACATTTCATACCTTTGAATGAACTAATAGATTTTTGCTGAAAAAGTAAGAGAAAAACTTAAGCATTTAAAAAAAAAATTGAAAATGAGAGTAAATTAATGCAATTTAAAATACTTAATGGAACTTTAAATGTAAATTTAAAATTCTATTAAGTGCATTAATTTTCTACTCATTTGCAATTTTTAAATGTTTAACTTCCATTCTTACTTTTCAGAGAAATTCATTCAAAAATATGAAACATGGAAGTAAAAATATCCCTCTTCGTTTCTTGTGCTCCCAAATCATTATGTGAATATGCAATTACAGCTTCTAAAACCTGAAAACTCATGCGTGCAATGTCATCGTCCTGCGATGATTTGTCAGTACTTTCTTTTTTAGCACGATTTTTTTAAACTGCGAAGTTTTTTAACTGCTTTATTTTCAACCACAATGTTTTAGAACTGCGATGTTTTTCTCTTTGCTTTCTTTTCTCCAACGACGTTTTGCACAACGACGATTTCGCCTTGCGTTGTTTTCTCCACTACGTTTTTGTAAGTGATGATTTTGATGACCTGCTATTCCTATGTACAGACATGCAATGTACTTCAGAAGAAGGATATTAGATAAATACAACTCATTTGTTGCCTTACATTGAGATCTTCCTTACATAGTTTAGTTTATAAAGCATATCGCAACAAATTTGTGTTGTGAGATTCACAGTCGTACATGACTGCTCTGAGATCCATAGACGGTTCCAAATCTTTTGCATATTTTCTACTTAGACACATTATAATTCATGTTATTTCTATTTGGCTTCAACTTTCAGCAAAATTAAAGCAGCTTTAACTCTTCACGCATTTTCTACATTCTTTTCACTTTTTCTACTGAGTTTTAAATGTTTGTTAAAGAATGTTTGACAAATTCTTAAAACTGTCTTTTACCTTTTTTTCAAAAATGGATGAAATATACAAACACAACATTACAATGCAGATTGTGTAAAATATGCAGTCACAGGAGGGAATCAATGAACTGTTTTACATGAAACACATATAATGACTGTCCAAAATGTAAAAATTTCATCACACTTCCGTTTATTAGCTAAGAAAAATGTATGGAATCAGATTTTCAGCCCATGCATCATTTATCTTTTAATTGCATTAGGTTTATTGTGGATGAAAAATTTTCAAAAATGAGAAAAAATACAAGTACTTGGAAAACTCACATAAAATTGAGCTGCTCAAATTAAGATAATTTTTCAATTAAAATACAATTTTTATATCTCACAAAAAGTACAGAAATTATGAAAGCACCAACCATATAAATAATGCTTTCATTCATAAGCTATGGTGTATCTCGGAAGCCTGTACACCCTATTGCAAACAACCCTAACTTGGTATTATAGAATGAATGCAACAGGACAGTTGGAAAGGGATCTATTTGTGCTCCTCTAAGCATATAAGTTTATTTGCTTTTAAGCCTGCTGTAATATTATTCCGTGTATTTCAGGTATGGCCCAAGCCAAAGACCATGACATTGTTGAAATGCTTGGAAATGGAATATATTGCATTATCATATTAACCTTTTCACACAGGCTCACAAATTGCTCTGTTCCTTCCCTAGGCGCCCTTTGCACAGCAGTTAAGGAAAGAAATTATCACATCAAGTCTCGAGTATGAGGTGATTAGTGCCCTTTTGTCAGCCAGAAGGGATCCAGACTTCCCTTTCAATTTCGTTTGAAGCTACAGGCATTAGACTGTGGGAAGTGTTTTAAACACTTTCACCTTGCAGATAGATTACTGTAGCTTTTCAACGAAACACTATGATTTGACCTTCAAATGAAATGCATCCAACCAATAAAGAATTTTGATTGAAAAAATATTCCATTTTATCGATTACAATATTTTTCTTAATGTCACTCCTAAATTATGTACTATAAAATAAATTAATTGATTAGAGTTAAATACACTCACATATGATAAACACAGGAAAGTATAACTACAGTAATGCACAGTATTAAGACCTTCCCTTTATTTATTTACTTACTTAAAATATCATAATTATTCTTATTTTAATGAGTAATCTGAGTACTACAATCTTGAACACTCCATCTACTATAAGTGAAGTTTTTTGAACTCCTACAGGAATAGATTATTGTTTCTATGCCCCTAGTAAAATCTATTCCTGGAGAAATAGGTATTACTCACTGCATTGATATTGCATGAATCACCTTTTACCAATTCGTGCAGTGACAAAAACTTAACCAATGACTGAGACAGGACTTTTTATTTATCATCCATGCAACACTGCAGATGATAATCCTTGGATATGACCTGCCTTTAGACCAGTGACATAAGATCTTTAATTTTTTTAACCTGTTCATGGCTTTTGTTGTGTTCAAGACAAAAATACAGGAACACACATGAGCTATCCAAAATGAAATCCTTAATGAGTTGAGTTTTAATTTTATCTAATAGCAAAAATTTAGCTTTATTAATTTATAATTATTTAGCAAATTATTTAATTATTTAGTTATTATTTAGCAATTTTACCTTAAATCAAACCTGTTGTTTCTTCTTTTATATTACTGCTGCATTTCTTCTTCGAACACATTAATATTATAAACAGAAGTGCATGAAATTATTTTTAAAATAAAGATCTCATGCAGTGTCAACTAGCAAAATGTTTGTTCCCATTTTTTACGGTGCTCCATATTTAAAATTAAAGAAATGTTAAAATTAGTTTTAAAATATTAGGTTATAACATGAAGTTTCAAGATTATAAGCATTCCATTACTACTTTCTTGTGGGATGGGAGGATCCAGTCATATGTCTCCTTTCTTTTTGAGAGAATAGATTGGTGATTAAGTCTACATATAATTATTAGATTCTTACTAAGAAAAAAATTATGGAATTGTATAACGGTATACTACCTAAATCCAAAACTTGAAGAAATCAGAGGAAAATTATACATTTGTAAATGCCTTCAAGCTTTTCGAATTATTCCATAAAATTCTTATCCAAGAATAAAAACTGTTTGTCATTTGATCGCTATGCCAAATTTCTATATGTCACTTTTATTCCTTATTACCATAAAATAATTTACAGTGTTAAGCACGCTTCAAGCAATCGATAAAATAAGATTTTTTTATTAGAATCTATTTGGAAGACAAAGTATTCCAATTTGTAACATTTAGTTTACGATTGCATTATAACTTTTCAGTAATTAAAAAATATTAATCATTTTCTATTACCAAACACTTTAATCATAAAACTAAGATCTTGTTCAGAATATTTTAACAAAAAAACTCTATATTGCTGAATTTATCTGAATTCAAGAATACATCTAAAAAAATATATTAGCTGAAAGAATTAATGAAAATATTTGCAGCAATTGCATGAAAAAACAAAATTAAGATCTTAAAAGGAAAATGTGGAATAATGAAGTAATTTAACTTATTTCTTTCCCTCAATAAAACGTTTCCTACAGAACATCCAAGTTCATCTAACATGCTGTGTGTGTCTGAAACACGAAGGTTACCCATTAACGGGCGCCAACAAAAAAGTACTGTAAAACAGTCTTCAAGACTCAAGCACTATAATTCATATCCTTGAAACTGACAAAAAAAAGTTATAAGCTTCTAGTGGATATACATTTGCTTGGAACATACATACCCCAGCACCCATGAAAAGGTTAATTGTTATATGTTGCACATACATTGTTATATGTAACATTACTATATTAAATCTCACTCATTTTCTCAGTTTGAAACATCATCTGTAAAGATAATGTATGGATATAAGAAAAAGCACAATACAAATACAGTCAAAAGACTTTAATCCGGACGTCCATAATCCAGACCTCAAAGCTACAAACTTTCTGCACATGTGTAAATGCATAATGTGTTTATGCATGCACATAATACATTTACGCATGCGCGTTTAATGTATAACGGATGGTATAAGTTAAGCTAAAATTATCTAATTATCTATTTCAGTTAATGTTGCAGATTGCATTGTTCCTTAATCTTCGAATTGGATCCGGCTTATTATTTTTTGCAGACTGTTAAAGCAATTTTATAAAAGTAAGCTTGAACTTTCGATTATGTCAAAAAGAATTTCCAATTCTGGAGCTGTTAAAGGATCTACAAAGCGAAAGCATGTTGCGATGTCCATCAAACAAAAAATGGAATTGCTGCAAAAAATGAATAAAGGCATATCCTTTGTTTCTCTAACCATTCTGAAATCTGTTTATCAATTTCATGCTGCTCTGTGTGTGTGGGGGGGGGAGAGAACGTCGGGGCGCGCAATGAACTGGAAGTTGATCTGTCAGCACTATTCTTATCTTCAGGGCAGATGTTTTTATTTTATTTCATCTTGATGTACTCTGTTTTTGATATGATTTAAATCAAATTCCTCGTCATTATAAATATCATGAATACACATCAAATAGTTTTCTGGTTGCAATTTTCTAATTTCGACTATGCGTAATGTATGCTTTACGCATGTGCACGTTGAAAGAAATGTTTAATAAAGTAAACAAATAAATATTAAGCTTTTTTTTGTGTGTAAATTTTGATACCCATTAGATCATAATTGCTCTTTATTTCATAAATTACAGTTTCATATTTTTAATTTTATAATTTCTGCATGCCATCTTACCAGATTTAAATTGATGATCTATAATCCGGAATCGCCAAAGTCCCGACGAGTCCGGATTAAAGACTTTTGACTGCATATATTTTCTGAGAAACATGCATGCACTAAATTAACTAAAAGTAAAATTATCAGGAAAAGTACACTAGGAACTTGGAAAAATTCTAATAACATAAAACTTCTGATCTTAGCAGAAATGAAATTATAACGATTTTTTAAAATTAATCTTTAATTATTGCATAATAAAAATATGAAAGCAAAATCAGATCTTACTCATCAAAACTCATGCTTTCATCTTGAAATTCCTTCTCCGAAGGAGAACTCATGCTACCAATAAAGTTCAGTGTATTTGCTTCAACACTTCCTTCCTTGTCTTCAAGATTTCCCTCCTCTGATTGACATTCAGCTACACCTTCAAAGTTACAATTAAAAACTATACAAATGTTAAATTAACAACAAAATAGAACTTCCCAAGAATTATTATATTCTACTCTAAACAGGCTGCTGTTTTAAAATGAAGCTCTACTAGCTGTCACTTCAGCTTTTAATTATTGTATTTTATGAATATAAATTGAGAAGTAAGATTTTGCTGCAAAAATTCAGCCAAATTGGCAATCCATCTATAAATCAACTTTGAAATTGCTCTACATTTTCTACAGCCTTTCATATATTGCCGAATTTGAGAATAATCTGCTTTCTAGATTAGTTAGACTTTATCTGACATGCTGAAGGTGAGTGCCAATTCATCTTCAACTTCCATATGAAAAATGTTGCGTGTTGCAGAATGAAAAGGCACTTTTGCCACAGATAGTTTCTTTTTTCAGTTCCATGTCAGATTTTAGTTTGGTTCTTAGTTGTGGTAACCATTCTCAAGCAATCACAAGAATTTATTTTTTCCTGTTTCAAATGATTTTACGAAAAATTGCTTTTACGAAATTTCAAATGCTTTTTTAATTCTTGCTTTTACGAACAAAATACCATACTTCATTTCTGCTACACAGTGAAAGATACCTGGACAAAAACTAACTGTTTTTGTGTTAGTTTGCATTAAACATTATCACTTTTGCTGAGAAAGTGTTGTGAACAGAATTGAAGATATTACCTCTGAGGTGGATGACAATCATGCTTATAACAAAGGGCTACGACATTCACCTGACACTTGCCTCTACCACAAAGAGACTATAGAGAATTGTACGAATATTCCAAGTTGGATATCAAAATTAAGAAATTTGATGAATGTATATTGAAATAAATATATTTAAGATGAAATAAATATTTAAAAAAAATTTAAATATATTAATTTTATGATAAAATTTTATGTAACAGTTATGCTTTTGAACTGATATATAAGTCGATTCCCCAATTTCAGCAATAAAAAGCTTAAAAATTATTGGATCATATATGGTAATATGCAGAAGTTTAATTATTTGACTTGTTGCAAATGCAACAAAAAAATTAGAGAAAAATAATTCTGGTATTTGCTTTACTGATTAGTTTTTCTAATTTTAATACGAATCAATATCTATGTTGTTAGGAATTTGTATACAGATCCTTTAAGAAAGCAAAACTTGGAGGCACTGACAATCTGCATTGTTCCAAATCTATGTATAATTCCTTTTCCTTGAAGCATAGCAATTAATGGACTGGATGTTGAACTAAAGCCTCACTAATAATATAATCAACAGATTAACATATACCGTATTTATGCGAATCTAATGCGCATCGTTTTTGGCCAAATGTAGTATTCAAAATCGGGGTGCGCATTAGATTCGATGGTGCATTAGATTCGAGTGCAAAGTTCGCCGATGACGTCAACCAAATTTCTCGACTACATTTACCGTTACATTTATCGTTGACACATTATTGCATAGAGGATACAAACTGCAGAGTACGTAGTCACGAAATGGAGGGCAAACAGAGAAGAATGTCATATGACGCTACTTTCAAACGTAAAGTAATTCTTTATTGCTGAAAAAAAAATGGCAATAGAAAGGCAGGGAGAGTTCAAGTTCAACGTAGCAGAGCAATGTTCGCTTGTGGCGGCAACAGAAATTGGCACTGTTTGCAACTAAAGCTAGTAGAAAGAAATTCACTGGCCCTCGCAAAGGAAGACACCCTAAAATTGAAGAAAAAGTTTTGGAATTTGTACGTGAAAGGAGGAAGAATGGACAACCTGTGACTAGTGACACCATAAGAAATAAAGCAAAAGAGGAGGCTGAAGTTCTTGGAATACCGAAACAAGAGTTTAAGGCTAGCCGTGGATGGGTGGATCGGTTTATGAAGCGGATGGGTTTATCTCTAAGACGCCGTACAACAATATGCCAAAAGCTTTTGAGATTTTGCTGATGTTATATTGCAAGGAAAATTCAAGAGAGAGAAAACAAACGCATGTTTTCTTAAGTAAGACGTCGTATAGGAATTGTCCTGTTTCACTTACATCAATATTGCCCTACAAGTTACAAAACACTACAGGTGTTATTTGTAATACTAGTATTGCACATCAGAAATGAAAAAAAAAAAAAAATGCAACAAATAAGGCCCACCAGGAGCTTAGTAGTTAAGATCACTGAATACAGGTAGTTTAATCTGGATTCACATTCCAGTGAGCTAACTGGCTGCATAGGCACTTCCCGGGTTTTCCCCACATGCACGCAAACTGGTTTCCCATACAAAAAAATCCATGAAAACATAATTCCTCAGGGAGTAATCCCAGGGTGATTTACCACATTCAAAGACATAAACAAACCACAGCAAAAAATCAAATATTTTGAAAATCTACAAAACATATAAAGCATCTTAATGTATTTCCTTCAAATGGTATGATTTGTCTCTGCTTCTTAGGAGAACATGCATGCAAACTGGTTTCCCATACAAAAAAATCCATGAAAACATAATTCCTCTGGGAGTAATCCCAGGGTGATTTACCACATTCAAAGACATAAACAAACCACAGTAAAAAATCAAATATTTGGGAAATCTACAAAACACATAAAGCATCTTAATGTATTTCCTTCAAATGGTATGATTTGTCTCTGCTTCTTAGGAGAAATGCTCTTAGTTCATTCATGCATTAATTAATTAAAGGCGAAACAGAAAGGAGGGGGAAAAGGATAAAATTAATTTTTTTAATCAAATATGACAAAGCATGTATAGGCTGTCTGCCTAAGGGTAGATATGCATCTGTTGAAGAATTTCAAACAGAAACAGTCTTTTACTTAACATTAACACGTTGACTGCCCAACACAAGATAACTTGTATTAACGCTCTTCTTCAGGATGCCCAATACTACTTATCTCGTAGTTTCTTCATTTGCCACTTTTTGGCCGCATCTGTTGAAGAATTTCTAACGGAAACAGTTTTTTACTTAACATTAACATGTTGACTGCCTAACACGAGTTTGCTCTTGTTCAGGGTACCCAATACGAGTTATCTCGCAGTTTCTTGACTTGCCACTTTTTGACTGCTACGAGTTACCCGCTTAGCACTTGTTTTAGCTCTACCAAGGTGACAAGTCAAAGCATGTCTGTACGAATCAACTTGTAGTGGGCTTCTGCGAAGAGCTTTGTCTAACAAAAGCTGACTACAAGATAATTCATAGGACACTTTTTTCTACCCCCCCCCAAATTCCCATAAACTTTATAATGATTGTTATGAATCATAATTAGCATTTTTAATAATATAATATGATTAAATCGATTTGGCTTCTCGGATCAAAATATGAAAAGTGTCGTGGCAGTCAACGTGTTAAACCCCCAGAAAATCATCAAAGTGCAATACACACATCTTGCTGCCAGTCTTTGAAACAATGTTTAGCAGTTTTACACACTCAGCCATTCGTGCGCAAGAAGAGAATTCCAGCAAAACAAATTACTTAATATATTAATTATTCTATTATTAAAAGTTTACTATGTTACTGTTTTCAATAATATAAAAAAGATGAAATTAATCAAGAACTACAGAAAATAATGCTTTACTACAATAGCTCAATTAAATGAACTGGTGAATTTTCAGGTACACATGACTGGCATCAAACAGTTTGCTTTATGTAGAAAATAATAATACCCAAATTTACTCTAAATCTAGCAGAAGATAAATGAGAAATTATTTCAATGCGACAATATGTAACACAGTTAATTTTCTGGATTATCTTTATGATTGTCTATATTTTACTCACTGTTGGTGAATCATTGTAAAGTTTTGTAAAACTCATCTGATAACACTTTGCATACCACATGGAAATCTCTAAGATATATATGCAAGGGACCGCACATTTTTGGGCATACTGCACATTATTTAAATCATCATAATGCACTTTAGGTGCTGTTTTTCAATAATTATAACATTTTTATTTACAAAATCAATTAAACAATTAAAGTTCTTAGTACTTTTTTAACATATGGTACTGCATAAAACATTTTCATCTGTGAAGAGGGACCACACAAAATTTACATAAGTATCTAGATTCTCTTCTTTTTCTATGAGCGGCACAAACTCTGTGGGCTCTCACAGGAAATTTTTCTTTCCACTTACTGGAATACATGCAGGTACATGTTCCTTCATATTACCTGACAACCTTTTGGGTGGATCTTTATGAGGTGCTCTCCTTGCACCCCCAGTGGCAAGCTAGACATATTTGTCTCTTGGTTGCAGAGAGCCTTCATTATTGTCATCCATTATCCAGTCTCTCACAATCAATAATAACTTTTTACACTTCATTTTTGCTTGTGGACTGAGGATGTTATACACTCTAAATTAATTGAAAATCCCACAGTTTATAATGTACAGACCCACTCTTTTTTGTCCATTTTATCGTTTTCCTTAGAATAAAACAACATAAAAGGAATTGCATTACACAGTCAACACCTTTTCATGTGGCCATTATACTCCTTGGTGAAAGTAAGTTCTAGTCTGTTTTCCTCTTTTTTCACTGTTGTCGAGACAGAAGTGTCATGGTTTATTGATATCATTCGGACAACCCATTTGTCTTTCCATGCTAGAAGAAAAATATCACCTTTTCTGGAAAATATTGTCACCTTTCTTGATTCTTGATGTTTTCATTTTCAAATTTGGCAGTAAATCTCAACTTTCCCTAACAGTCACAGAGACTTTAGTTTTGTTCTGTAGCAGCAGCAGTATAGCAGTATATAGAGCACTGTAATAATTTCCCTGACAAATATGATGCTATATGCCAAAATACGGTCCAAGGACTGAAAGAACAGTTTCTTGCAATTTCTTTCCTTCAACAGTGTATATCTCTATATTGCAGATATAACCAGTGTCCTTCTTGCACACCATCTGAACAAATAAAGCATATTTTCTCTGGGTTGTATGTGGGACATTTTAAACGTTCTCTCCATGGAATCATTCCGTCGTCCAAAGACAACTGTTGGTTTGGTTTGCATATTGTTTGAAATTTATGCAGGAAATAATCCAGCAGAGCCTGGATCTTAAAAAGTCTTTCCAAGTGATTGGCCATTTCAGCATTAACATTGAAATGCCAGAATGTCCACATTTGCTCAATCTATGGCGACTCATTATCGGTGGAAATACAGAGGTACACAGCAGGATCTGCTGACCAATAGTCTTTCAAGCTATCTTTTCTTGTTTGACCCATCAGAATAATTAGGCAGAGGATTCTCTCAAACAATTCATCAATAAAAATGAGATTAGTCACAGAGGATACAGTCATATTAAAACAAAAATGTAGTACCCCCAGCATGACATTCAAACACTTGAAAGCATGGTGGTGTGTCAGTTGGAATCACTTGAAAGCAGTGCTACGTTGCACTTCCTTACAGGTCTAATTATTTCACCGTCAGCAGAATCACTAGAATAGTCTCTGGAATCATCAAGACATTTTTCTGCATCTTCGAACTCGCTAGGAATATCTAATAAATTAGCATTAAATGCTTCCTGAAAAGTATCAGTCTCCTTCCTTTTTCTGAGAGACAAAATTTCTAAAAGTGCCAGGAACTTGAAGACAAAGACTATTCAAATTCAAATGACCAAAATAAAGTGTAACTGCAATGCTTTACGGGTTTCTTCAATTATATAGTGTTTCATAGATTGACCCGCAAGGTTTTCACCAGTGAGACAGCTTCATTTGTGAAAAACGAGAAAATTTATAAATGGTCCTTAACAGATGGTGCATGTAATAAGAAAAAAAACTTGTGAGTGAAGATTTAAAATGAAATTTTAACAGATGGTGCCACGTAATACGCAAAAACTCGTGAATGAAGACTTGAAATGCAATTTTAATAGATGGTGCAGGAAATATGAAAAATTGTGAGCGGTACGCAATGTGTTAATATGGTAGCTAACAGTAACTTAATATAATAGACATGAGTTTATATTATGGGTCTGAATGTAAAACCAATCAGTAACTACATGCATTTTATATGTTCATCACACTTAAATATTTAAGGCTTTTTAATATTCATAGAGTATAAAATTTGAATGTTAGTTTTCAAATTGCTCTAAATCTGCAAAAAAATTTCAGTATAGAAAAAATCTATGTGTTTTATATTTTAACAAAATACCTCATACATAAGCAACTTCAAACCATAAGCAGCAATGCTAAGAGATAACAGAAAAATTCTGGAAATTTACACTATACTATTAATCTAGGTAAGGAAGGAAGGTGACTGTGCAGGCTTGGCTGAGCTCAATTATGTTCAAAAAGAGAAGACTGCATAATCAATGTGTACATTTACTAGTACAGTGCTGATTTCAGCATACAATTTTGGATGCTTTTGCATTTTTAGTTCCCAATTTATAAACTGCATACTTGAACAAGAGCCATGGAATATATTCTGCTTTCACTATACAGTTTCAGTAATTCAGTGTTTCATTCCAGAATACATGTAACAAGTTACTTTAAAAAGCTTCAATACAGCCAAATTTTTGCAAACATTCTTAACTCCTCCTTTAGATCATAACTAAATCCCAAAAGCACAACAATACTGTTACTTTTTTTTTCTCTTCTGACACCCGTTGTTGCGTTATTTTCTTACTTCACGTTCATACGGGGTTTGTAGATTTGGAGTGAATAACAACGACACTTGATGAAGTATCGAAACACACTTTATTTACCAGTATTGTCAGGACAGCTCCAAAACACATTTTACAGTCGTCGATGAACTACTATAAGCACGGTGACACGATCAGTGACACAGCCTTCAGGTTATCAGGCTATCACGATGGAGACAGCTTCAGGGCAAAGCACTAGATACAGCTCCTAACTCTGCTTTCCGGAGTACAGTTCCCGACTCTGCTTAGTCGTTCTCGGAACTCCGCGTACTCTCAAGACTCTTCACGCTACAACTCGCGATACACTCGACAACACACGAGCACAGCTCCCGACTCTTTGGTTCAGTTGTTCCCGGAGCTCAACACGCTCTCGACAATGCACTAACCGTGATACACTAACACACTCCTTCGGTGCACTCGACGACCCACAGCTTGCTAGACGAGGCACACTCTCTGAGACACACTCGATGAGAGACATACACTGACTGCCTGCGGACTCAGCAGGGTTTATATAGCTTTCGGCTTGTGTTCGGGAACATTCTGGTTCCTGGTAAGAATTCATTCCAGAAGGTTCTCCATCAGTCCATGGCATATCACCAATTTTGTCACCAAATGGGCGATTTCTCACCAAATGTGGCAACCCTGCCTTCCCTTGCCATTTCATGGCAACCCTAAAACTGCTTTGCTGGGAAGCTATCCTACTACACCTGCACATTTCGTAACAATACTTTCTAAAGGAAGATACCTAAAATGCTAGTCACAAGCAATATATAGGAAAAGCTAAATGCTTTGATGGAAAGTGACATTTCTAACACATCACATTTCCCATGGGCCATTAAACAATAATATGTTGATCTTCAATATTAAATAAGGTTAAACTCTTCTTTACAAATTATAGTTTTAGCTCATTAAAGCATATTGAATATTTTAATTTGCAGAAAATTTTATTTTGCAGGAACAAAGACATACATGCAAAATTAAGAGAATTTGCACATTATGTCAAATTTCTGAAAGAAAGGATAAGAGTTTAATGAAATTTGGTATGAATATACATTTATAACAAACAAAGAGATGTAACATTCGACAGTTTTTTATATATGCATGATTATCAGTAAAACTCATAATGTAGGAAAGTTTAAAATCCTTGCTGTCATATCGAACTGAAAATCAATCTAAAATGGGGTATGGTCCCACATTACAGACAAACGAGTCGCACAGTGCCATGGCATACTGGACAGGTAGCAGATTATCCCACTCTTGCAGCAAGGCAGTTTTCAACTCTGGGAGGATTCTCCAAGGGTGATGGCAATATGAAACTGCCCACCAAAAGTATCTCAGACATGCTCCAGAAGGTTAAGGTCAGGAGATCTGGCTGGCCAATCCATGCAGAGAATATAATCACTTTCCAAGTAATCCTTGACCAGTTGAGCCCCATGTGGACGAGCACCGTTGTCCACTAACAGGAACTTAAGACCAAAGGGCTTCTGAAAAGCTGAACATACGGCTCATATACCTCATAGCAGTCAGGAAGCTTTTGTCATACACATGCAGGGGTGTGCAGCTGTCCAACATAATGCCTGCCCAAACCAATACATCTCCCCCAAAGTAATGATCCTTTTTCCTGATGAAGAACAGATGGTATTGTGTTAAGAGCTCTCTCCAGATACAGGTATGCTGAGAATCAATGACCAGTATTAATGAAAATAAAATTTATAGAATACTTTGAGTGAGGGCAGTGGCAATATACCGTACACAAAAATTTCCTGTATAATTATTTTATTTATCTATATCTCTACCTCTAAATCAATAGAAATGTGTTACCATACAGCAATAATCCACTCAATTGAATTTAAAAAGAATTTATTTAGTTTGACCAGCAAAATTTACTGGTTAGAGTTACCATATATCCATATTCAGGATGGTCATTAAATGTATACCCAAAATTATGTTTGAAATGCAATTTTAACACTCATTTTTATAGTTGCAGGATTTGTAAACATGATCTAAATACAATTCTGACTCTGACACAGCCATTTAAATGGTTAAAAAAATCCAGAAAAGCATGGCTGACTTGAATCATGAACTTTTAGATCAGCTTGATGCATTTTCGTACTTTTAATGTTTTAATTTTAGGCAGTGATTCACTTATGTATTATAAAGATTATTAAAAATGTTTAGTGAATGAAAATACTTTGCACATATCTTCTGCATTAATTTAATTTGTAAGCAAAAATTATTTACATCTTACTAATAAAAAATTTCAAAAAAACACAAAAATTAGTTTGAAACCTTCTTAAGATAAGCACCCACAGTTTCTTACACTTTTGATCTTCTACAGCAGAAGTCATTTTGCAGAATAAGAGTATAAGTGATGTTCAATTTTATTATTTAATTATATTCGCAGAAATACAGATCATTATCTGAATTTTTCAAAGAAAAAGTCATGAGTGGTTTAATTATACAAGACAAATATTCAAATTATATTTAAATTCAATACCTGTAGTATCCTTATCATCAGAAACTACTTCAACACCTTTAGCAAGCTGTCCAAGTTGAGAAGCAAGTTCTGATATTTTTGCAATAGTCTGTGATTTATCTAATTCCTTCTCTTCTTCAAAATCATCAAGATTTCCAACATCAGGCACTGATACACTGCCAATACTCATCAGACTTGCTATACTTTGCATATCCTCATCTCTAGGGAAAGAAAAGTCCTCCAAATATTAAAATTGATTTGAAAAGTTTTAATCTTTCAGTAATAAGAAATTGAAGAGAAAAATCTCATTGACACACTGCATGCATTAAAAAATGTCAAAATGTAGTACAGAATAATCAATGTATGAATTCTCAGCAAAATGGTAAAAGAGGCCCAGCCTCCATAGAATATATTAAAAATGTATTAACTATTATCATTAAATTAAAATTATTAATTAAAAGTAAATCCTTTATACAGCACTATTTTTCATTAAAAGAAGTTTTTCAATTCATTTACAATACTTTTCATACGAAATAGAGCAAACTATTTCAAACAACATATAAACAACAAAATGGGAGGCGAATACAGTCTCATTTATGGAATGCAGCAAGATTACAAACATGATTTGAATGAAAATAGAAGGAATTACAAATTACTGTATTATAAGGAAGTATATTGTAAACACTATTTAGATTATTAATTAATATTTAATTATATCATATGATTGCAAAACAGTCTAGTATGCATAAAAAAAGTATCTATTGCCTTGTCATCTCAATGGAACACCACATTTTCTAATAGGTCAAAATATCTCTAGAACATCAGAAAATTACTTTGAGCATCACTTTGTTCACTGCACTAAGTGAAGAAATCAATGCAGCCTATGATATACCAGTAATCTTGAATTATTCAAGTACCTGACCCACCTGTTCCCCCCCCCCAAAAGGAGAAGGCATAATTCTATAAATCCCCTCCCAGTCAACCAAACAAGAAAATTTAATTTGCATTTTTTATGTCTCAAAGGGATGAGTTAAGACACGTTTTATATGCCTATGTAATACACACACTTTTTATCCAAATATTTGAGTGATAATATCCAGTACCAGGCATTACGTATGCTCTTGCTTTTGTCTTCATTTTGCTGGATAAAGCAAATTTAAAATTCCAACAATATACGTAGGTCAGTCAGAAAGTTTGTTGCACTACTGCGTAAATATGTTCCATCTAAGACTATTTGGATGACAGTGTGTGGCAACACTTCAGACCTGTACCTTTATCGCATGACATAGCGGTTTCCCCGAGGCAAGTTTAGTTCTGATAATCAGTCGCAAATATGTCTCACAAACAGCTGCAAATAGTGTCCAAATTGGAAATGCGTGCTGCGATTCGTTTTTCGTGGGCAAAAAGGTGCAACTGCACTGAAATTTATGGGCAGTTGCATGAAGTGTATGGTGAAAATGCAGTGTCACGTCAAGCTATTGTGAAATGGTGCAATATGTGTGAGAATGGAACTACAGGTATTGGCAATGCAGAGCGTGAGGGAAGACCATTAACTGCAACTAATTCAGAAATCGCTGTTTGCATGAATGAATGCATTCTTGCAAACGATAGATAAAATCTTAAATGAACTGGATATTTCTCATGGAAGTGAGCATAAAATTTTTGCCGATCACCTTAAATTTCGTAAAGTTTGTTCTCGATCGGTGCCACATCTATTACACGGAGGAACATAAAGGAACGCGTTTTGAAATTGCATTTGCATTTCTGCAACATTACCAAACACGAGAAAATGAGTTTTTGGACAAAATTGTGACTCGAGATGAAACTTGAATTCACCACTTCTCCCCTAAAACGAAACGCAGCTCGCTCGAGTGGAAACATTGCAGTTCCCCAACATCAACAAAGTGTCGAACTGTTCCATCTGCAGGAAAGGTGATGATGACGCTGTTTTTCGACAGAGAAGGCGTGGTGCATATAGAGTTCATGCTGAAAGGTGCCACAATTAATTAAACTTCTTATTGGGAAACACTAAAACAATTGCGGAAATCACTTAAAAATTGGCGGCCACGTAAACTGTCAAAAAAAAAAAAAAAAAAAAAAAAAAAAAAAAAAAAAAAAAAAAAAAAAAAAAAAAAAAAAAAAAAAAAAAAAAAAAAGTGCATTTGACAATGCAAGACCGCATTCAGCAAAACAAACGTGCGGACTTCTGAAAAAGTTTAGATGGGAAGTGTGGAATCACCCTCCTTATAGCCCAGACCTTTCAACTCCTGACTTCCATTTGTTTGGTCCCATAAAACAAGAACTTTCGAAGCGACGGTGCCATTCCGATGCCAAAGTAAAAGCTGCAGGCCAATAATGGTTATCGGACACTGGATGGGATTTCTTTACAGAAGGCATCAAAAAACTTGTACCATGCCTCGACAAATGCTTAAATAACAGAGGTAAATTACATTGAAAAGTAGATTTTGAATGGGAATTTAAGATATAAATAAAGTCATTGTAAAATTTTGCTCCTGTTTTGTTTTCTTAGGCAGTGAAACTAACTTCTTGACTGACCCTCGTACTTCAGTATTTTTGACATATTTACTTCAAAAGGGGAAGAAAACACATATATTCTAAAGCAGTTTTTTAATAATTGTTTTTAAAAACAATACCTGAAATTAATTTTGTTGTTCACCTCATCATAAAAGCATAAAAAATACAAAGTCCGTAATCTGGACTCCTCGGGACTTCGGCAATTCCGGATTAAGGGTTTTCCGGATTATAGATCATCAATTTAAATCTGCCAAGATGGCATGCAGAAATTATACAGTTCAAAATATGAAACCGTAATTTATGAAATAAAGGGCAATTATGATCTAAAGGATATCAAAATTTACAAAAAAAAAAAGGCTTAATATTTATTTGTTTACTTTATTAAACATTTCTTTCAATGTAAGTTGTTCAAGTTGCTTTTTTTTTTTTTTTTTGCTAAACGCGCATGCGTAAAGCATACAAAAAAAAAAAAGTTTGTGGCTTTGAGATCTTTCCGGATAATGGACGTCCAGATTACAGACTTTGTACTGTATATTGTTACGGATTTTACATTTAGTTAGCTATTTTTAGTGGAATTGTAATTAAAATTGTTTTATTTCTCCGTGCATGACGAGTTTTAAGAGAAAGCTATGCCGAAAAAGTAAAAAACAGAAGCATTTAATAAATGGATATCTCATAATTTATACTTAAATTGAATAAATGCAATTGTCTATTAGCTGTAACTGTAATTCTACTCTTTTGCTTTCCAGAAACCTCGAGAAAATAAAAATTACCAGAATGTTCTAGTGCATGATTAAAAAGCTTTAAAAAGCCAGAGAAAAACATCTCAGTTCAGTTGTTTACTAAATTGTTTACATAGCTGCTGTAATTCTGAGATCAGATTAGCTTTCTCTATGCTTTGAATTGTGTTCTATTTAATGTTTTAGTAGTTTAAATATAACTACTGTGTGATATTTTGATATTGTATGAATGAATATCTGTGAGGAAAAATGTCAGCATTTTGTTTTTATTTCCTGTGACAAGAATAAATTTTATTAACTTTTTATTAGACCTGCACATTCAATTTATTACAAACCTGTACGCATGCAACACTTTTTGTCAGGAGTGGAGTTTGAATGCCAATAACAAGAGCGATGGAAGAACACTTAAGGCAGTTGGTGGCAGCCTTTGCTGCATTTAAAGAAGAAATGAATGCGGGCCAAGATTCCGTTAAAGAGGAGATGAGTGTAGGTCAAGCAAAGATGGAAGCTATTCAAAATGAAATGAAAGTGGGCCAAGAGGAAATGAAAAAGAGAAAGCACCTGCATAATAGAAAAACAATTTGAGGCTATGGAAAAGCGAATAAATGAAAAGCTGTTGAAACTAAAGTTGGACACATTAAAAAAAAGAGTTTCTTCTGCAAAAGAACAAACGGGAGAGTTTCTTCAGTCAAAGAACAAATAGAAGGAAGAGTCTCTGCGATCCAACAACAAATCGAACAACAAATTGATGACAGGTTTTTCTGCATTTGCCAAAGAACTTGATACTTTAAAGAAATGTGTAGCGATGGCAAGGAGCAATTCTGATGGTTTTAAAGTTTTACCCATGCCTGCTCGTCCCTCACTGAAGTTATCCATGTATGATGGGATGACCTCCTGATAAGTATATAAAACCCAATTTTCTATAGTAGAAGATAGAATGGATGGGATTCTCAAACTAAGGCCTCCCATCTTGCTGCTTCTCTGAGATCAGATGCTGCAGATATTTTTCAAACTCTTCCAGAAAACAAAAGACTAAACTTCAAAGCTCTATCCGCCGCACTGGAGCTGTGCTTTGGCGAGAAATGTTTAAAAGACTGCAGTAGGCTTCAATCGAAATCCCATCAACAGGCCCACAGAAACATTCAAGGAGCTCGCCATGGATGTTGAAAAGCCATCTCACCTCACCTTTTCAGAGTACCTGACAAAAACAATGGAAATCCTGTACTTGAAATACTTCATTGACGGGATCCTGAAATACAGAAAGGACTTGAAAAGCACTCTAACCTATGCCATGAAATTCGAGGCAACCTAACAAGCCACTCGTAGAGACCCCAATCAGAGCTGCTCTAGTTCAAGAGCCAAAGTATCAAATAGCTGCTCGTCTACACGATTTAACCAGAAAACTGAATGCCTTGAGATGGAATATTGGTGACAAGAAACCAACCGTAAAGTCCTTGAACTGAAGGGCACATACGAAGAAACTGCAGAACACCCCGGGACACGGATGTTAAGACCACGTTTATCAAGAAGGAGGAAAGCTAATTAGTGGCCCTCTCACGGTGCCGAGTTTGCCAGATAATGAAAAGCCCTAGCACTTCAGATTTCTGCAATGATTGCCTGCAATTATGGACTTTTTATCATTGCACACATCAATAGAGTTCCTTGTAGTATAACCATTGATACAGGAGCCAATGTTATCTTCATTCGAAAAGATGTGGCTCAACAATTGGAAAGCAAACTCATCTGGACCTTGCCCTACGTTACACTCCAGACTGTGTCAGGCAAGAAGACCAACATCAAAGGAAAAGTAAACATTAACATCAAGTTGGAGAGTACTGCCTACCATCGCATGGCATACGTGGCAGAGATTACAGACCCTTGCATATTCAGATCGGACTTACTAAGGAAATATAATTTTTCCCTGGACTTTAAAAATAACGAACTAC